CGGGGTCGATCTTCATGTGATGGTGCTCCCCTCTTGACTGTTCTTCTCTCTAATGTAAGTTTGCATGTGCTTGAACATAACCACGCCCGCCCCGCCCGTCCCTCTTCTTGTAGATAAGGACGGTTCGGCTGTCGCTGCTGTTTCGCAACTGCTTCTGCTGCTGCAAGTGTTACACAGAGACAAGCTGGGCCAAGTACAGCAACCAGGTGAGCAAGCACCGCGCATTCTTCTCCCCCTCACCCTGCTGCGTCGTGGTTTGGTTTGGTTTGGTTTGGTGCGCCCACAGCATCGCAGTCGTACACATGTACTCGTCGTCCTCCTTCTCACGCTGTGCATGACGTGCCAGGGCCAGCCCTCATATGGCACGCTGCCTGACCACCACAACACGGGGTGGGTGTCGTTCCTGCGCTGCCTCTGCTGCAGTCCACGTGTTCACCCAGATGGCGCAGACACCCAGCAGGACATCTGGCTCGAGCTGTCAGAAATCTTCACACAGGTGCGCCGCTGTGTTTGTCTGGTGGGGGGTATGTGTGTGTCTGTTTGTGTGTCTGTGTGTGTGTGTGTGTGTGTGTGTGCGTGTCTGTGTCTGTGTGTGTTTCGTTGTGTCTGTCTATGTGTTTGTGTCTGGGTGTGAGGCAAATCCTTTCGTGCGTACACGTGTCGTTGCGTGATTTCCGCTTGTTGAAGTGCTCACCCTGCTTGAAACCGCTCACAAACCTGTCTACGGCACATCGCATGACTTTCCTCTGCGCCAGATCTTCGGTGACGAGGAGTACACGTGGACAGACCTGTTGACAGCACTGCGTCTCGTGCACAAGAGCCACCAGTACTTGAGGTCAGCTGCACCTGTCCCTGCGCGTCCTTCATGCGTCTTGCTTCCTTCAGCGTACACACATCTGCACCAACACACGCACAAGTTGCACAAACACACAACTCACATGCAGTTTTCTCTCAGGCTCATCCTCACACGCACACACATGCACACACACACTAACACACACACGCACACACACACTAACACACACACACAAACGCACGCACCTTCACACACATTTGCTGCAGGGCGCACAACGAGGCGCGAACGGGCCGGCGAGCCGGCAGTCGGCTGTGTGTGGAGGACCACATCCAGCCCCTGCATGGCGCCGCAGACGCAGCGGTCGTCACAGAGGCAGCGCACGTGCTCACGTTTGCATATGCCATCTTCTCCTGGCCAATCGAATGCTACACCAAGGGGCCCTGCGCAGCCGGCAAAGACATGTGTGGTGCGTCCGGGGTGTGTGTGTGTGTGTGTGTGTGTGTGTGTGTGTGTGTGTGTGTGTGTGTGTGTGTCTGTGTGTGTGTGTCTGTGTGTTTGTGTGTGTGTGTGTGTGCGTGTGTGTGTGTCTGCCTGTCTCCCTGTCTGCCTGTCTCCCTGTCTGCCTGTCTGCCTGTCTGTCTGCCTGCGTGTCTGCCTGTCTGTCTGCCTGCGTCTGTGTGACTGCAATTTTAACCGTGTTGTGTGGGTAATTTGTTTACATTTGTTTACAATAACCCCCCCCCCCGACATGAGCATGGCAGCTCACCATGCGCGCACGCATGACTGTGCAGGCATGTGTCTGCGCACGTCGTGTGCGGCCAATATGGAGGCCACGGGCGACTGCTGTCACGTCAACCGCCTCTCCATCCTCTCACAGGTGCGCACTTTCTTGGTGATACTTGTGTGTGAGTCCGATGTGGTAAAAGTTTGCGTGCTTGTGCGATGTGCGCGCAAAGATAGAAAGAGAGAGAGACGGTCTGAGTATTCCACGTGGCGTTCCAGTTGGTGTGCAATGTGTGCATGTCGGCAAGCATGTTGCATTGGCGTGCACGGGTGAGTGCAAATGCTCATCCTGCGTGCTGCTGTGCAGTGCAATGTCCGCGCTGAGGATGTGATCACACTCGATCTCCGCAGCAGCGTCTACGAACAGCCGTTTGCTGTCGTCCTTGACAGGCCAAACAAGGTCTGGTCACGTGTGTTTGTCTGTCTGTGTGTGTATGTGCGTGTGAGAGAGCTTGTGTGTGCGGTATTCACCTGCACGTCGCTCATTGTGTTCCTTGTCGGCAACAGACCGTTTGCTGTTCTGCTCACGCTACACAACATCATCACCACCGCCCACGCCACACCCTTCCTCCCTCCCTCCCTCCTCCAGGCCGTCATTGTCGCTGTCCGCGGAACGTTTGGACTCGCAGACCTCGTCACCGATGGCCTTGGTACACACAGTCGGCACCAGTGTGTGTGTGTGTGTGTGTGTGTGCCTGTGTGTGTGCCTGTGTTGCACCTGTTCTCCGATCGTACTTGTCGTGTAACTGTGAGTTTCTTTCCTCTGTTTGCGCCATGGCAACGCATTTCCTCCCATCACACACACACGCACACACTCACACACCCTTACACACGCCTGCATTTCCCCCCCCCCCTCCACCACCACCACCATGTCGCAGCGTCCCTGACGACGGTTGAGTTGGGCAATGGCATGTCAACGCCTGTGCACCGCGGCATGCTGAGGGCTGCGCGCATCCTCATCCGCAAACTCATCGCCAACGGCGCGCTCGATAAGGCCGCAGACGCCGTTGCACACGACGTTCACAACTACGAGTGAGTCCCGCTGGTGTGTGCGTGTGTGCGTGTGTGCGTCTGCGTGCTTGCTTGTGTGTATGTGTGTGTGCGTGTGTGCGTGTGTGCGTGTGTGCGTGTGTGCGTGTGTGCGTGTTTGTGCGTGTTTGTGCGTGTGTGCGTGTGTGCGTGTGTGCGTGTTTGTGCGTGTTTGTGCGTTGAACTTGAAGGCGAATGCCCTTCCCTCATTGTTTCGCACTTTACGTGGACTGCACGTTGCAGGGTGATCACGACTGGCCATTCGCTTGGCGCGAGCCTCGCTTCCCTTCTCGCCATTCTCCTCCAATTTGAACCCCTCAGCGGCTTCAAGCGTACGTGTGCCTGCAAGCAGTGCATCACATTTCCACCGGCGTGCATGATCTTCAAACTGCAGTGACACACGCACGTGCGCACATGCGTACATGCGCCCACGCACATACCCACAAACACCCACACACACACAACCGCACACCGATACTCGCCCATACACGCCCATACATGCCCATGTGCGTGCTTGCTGCGACTGCAGACGTGCGCTGCGTTGCGTTTTCGCCCGCGCCAATCGTTGATCTCCAGGTGGCGGAGTGGGCCAAGTCCTTCATCACAGCCGTCGTCCTCGGCCACGACATGGTGCGCGCATGTGTGTGTGTGTGTGTGTGTGAGTGTGTGTGTGTGTGTATGAGGAGTTGCGCGGCTCATCTTCGACTTTGGAGTGCATGGTCCTCTCTCTCTCTCTCTCTCTCTCTCTCTCTCTCTCTCTCTCTCTCTCTCTCTCTCTCTCTCTCTCTCTCTCTCTCTCTCTTCCCGCCCTTCCCCCTCACCGCCATTATATGCACTGCATCGTGTGCGTTCGTTAGGTTGCGCGGCTGCAGTTGTGGTCAATCATGCGACTCAAGGCGGAGGTTGACTTTGCCCTTCGCAACAGCCGCGACAAGAAGGCAACCGTCTGTTTTGTACGTACCAAGCAACACAATATACACACACTCTCTCTCGCAAACACACTCGCACACACTCGTAAACACCCTCGCAAACACACACACACAGGCTACCACTTTTGTGCTGTACTGTGCGTACTTCCACTGCAACTGTTGGCAGTGCTGCTTGTGCGCTCGTGTGTGCCCACGTACTCTGCGTTCCTGTTGTACGGTGTGTGTCCGCTTGCACCACCGCGCACATCGCTCACATGGCATGCACCCGTTCGTGTACTTTGGGCAGTCTACTTGCGGTGTTGGACTCAAAGACAGGTTCGTTTGAAACACGCGCACATGCACACGCGCGCTTGCTTGATGGTCGTGCATCCTATCATGCCAGCTGCCGTGGTTGGGGCAAGAGTTGCTCTTTAATGCATGCTGTGTCGCGTACGCTGACGTGTTACACGTGTCCACGTGTGCGCGCAAAATGCCCGTCGATTGCTGTTCTTGTTGCGGTGATCATGGCTCGTTTGCAGATATTGGGAGGAACATGATATGGAGGCATATGTGCAGCAGCTCGACCTTCCACCGTGAGTGCCATCGACCTGTGCACTGATGCTCGTTCGCGCTGGTGCGCAGCTGCCTGCCTGAGACCTGACAGCCACCTGTACACGTGTGTTTGTGCGTGTGTGTGTGTGTGCGTGTGTGTGTGTGGTGATTGATTGTCACTGGCAGACGGATCTACATCCCTGGAAGGATTCTGTACATCATCAAGGACGACATTGTGCCAACGTCAGTGCACTTTGCCTGGTTACATGCGTGAGAGCGTGTATGTGAGTGGGAGAGTGTGTGTGAGCGTGGGAGAGAGTGTGTGAGCGTGGGAGAGAGAGTGTGTGTGTGTATTGAACCCCACGAAGATGTTGAGTGGGACTTATGAATTGATCCCCTCCAACACACACATTCACATTTGCACACACACTCACATATTCACACACACACCCGCATATTTACACACACTCGCATATTCACACATACTCACACATACTCACTCACACACACTCTCACACAACACCGCGCCCGTGCCAAATGTGAGCGGCTTTGCGTGTGCAGGTGCACGGGCCATCGCCGGTTGTTCAAACCGTACTGGGCAGATGCGCGCGCGTTTGATCGGATATGGCTCAGCGGCCGTATGGCCTGGGATCACTTTCCCCGCTCCCTCCGACACAGCGTTCTCGTACGTCAGCTGCACACGCACAATGTGTGTGTGTGTGTGTGTGTAGATTGGATGTGGTTGTGGTTGTTTGTGGGCGTACGCTTATCATGTCACTGCGACTACTTCCTCTTGTTCTTCTTCTTCTCCTCCTCCTTCGTTGTCATCTTTGCAGGCAATGCTGGAGCACGCAGCTGCAATGTCGGGCCAGGAGACGGTGACCACCGAGGCCGTCGTGGTCGATCTGGATGAGATGTACACGCACACGCACACGAGCCAGCGGGAGAGTCAGCAGTTCCACAGCGTCACAGAGGCACTCCTCCCACAACAACAACAACAACAACAACAACAACAACAACAACAACAACAACAACAACAACAACAACAACAACAACAACAACAACAACAACAACAACAACAGCATGTTCTTCTCCACGATGATGACGAAGATGATGATGATGCTGACACCAGTGGTGCCTGGTACACGACAACATCAGAGGCGTAGCACTGCGCGCGATGCTTCTCAGGTTGTAGGGACACGTGCTTGTTTATTTGGTTGGTTAGGTGCATTACAATCGCACTGGCGAAGCAACAGGTAGACGGACGGAGCCTCGAGCGTGGTGGCTTATGCGTGGCACAAGAACGTGGGGCACGAACAGCAGAGCGACAGGCATACGTGCATGAGAACAAATAAGGTGTGGTGGCTGATGACAAACGGGAACACAGCAAGCGATGAGATGAGGGGGGAGGGGGCACCGCAAATGAACACATCTTCGAGATAACACGCTCTTCAGATAAGACGCTCTTAGGCGAACACGAACGCACGCTGTGCACGCTGGGGGCTTTCATGCCAGGAGCAGCAGCCGCGTGAGACGATCAGTTAGATGGACACGGTGGAAGGCCGGGTGTAGCTTGGCGGTGCTTGGGGCAGGGTGCGCTGCGCTTCTGCTGCCGGCGGCGGCGGTGCAGTTGAGGAGGCGACGGCATCTTCGTACGAAGGCGGCTGGTTCTCGAGCTCTTCGTACGACGGAAGGTGGTCTGTCGCAATGGTTGCTGTTGTTGTTGGGATCAAGACTTGGTGGTCAGGGTGTCGCGGTCGATGGTGGGACCGGTGCCGGTGTCGCCTGTGGTGGTGGTGCTGGTGGTGGTGAGCAGCGCGTTGGCGTGGGTCGTCTGCGTCTTGCATGTGAGCGTGGCTTGCTGCATGTGTTCGTCTGCGTGCGATTATCGTTGCTGCCGGCGCCGCTGCTGGGTGGGGGCGGCGTGCTTGTTGCTGCTGTTGTCGTTGCTGTCGTCGCATCGCCTTGCGAAGTTGCCGGCGTCGCTGATACCTCACGCCCGCGTACACCAGGCATGCGACGCCAAAGCCAATGGCCACCCCGATCATGGTCTTGTTGGGGAAGAAGGGCTGCAGGGATGTCGAGCAAGTACAGGATGTTGTGGCAGCAAGGGGGAGGGGAGGACTTGCTTGACATAAGCTGCGCGAGACTGATGGAGCTTGGATTGCTTGTATCTGGCTGGTGGTGATGGTGATTGATGAGTCATCCAAAATGATGTATACTTAATTCAGTCACGAATTCAGTCGCATTTTTCAACACCACCCACCTCTTCCACCCCTTTGTTTTTCCTCGTACGAAAACATTCACGAGCGCAGGCGACTGGCGAGGATCGCAAACACACCGGTGCTTGCCTTGCTGGCCTTGCTTTACACGCACCTCCCTGCCGTTTCAACACCATGGTTAAGGCCGGAACGACTGCCGCTGGCGGCGGCGGTGGTGGTACGCTCACCCCACTGCTAGTGATAGTAATGATGATGTGTGCACTGGTCACGGGCGAGGCGAGCGGCGGCAGGGCGTCGAGTGCCATCGCAAATACACACGCATGCACACAGCAGCATGTGCTCGCAGTATCGACGGGAAGAACTGGCAGCACTTTGCTCATGCGCGCGCTCGCCGCCTTTGAAGCGGCGTTTGCCATCCCCGAACCGTTCCGCGCTTGGATGGAGGACGCGCACGCCCCTGACGTGCCATCCTACTCTAGCCTGTTCACCTGCGACTTCTTACACGACGCCGACGTCACACGAAAGGTGCAGTTAAACGCCTGATAGCCACCTGGTCGTCTGCTTGGCGAGGGAGGGCGTGCGCGCTGTATGTATGTATGTATGTATGTATGTGTGTGTGTGTGTCAAGAGCGTGGAGACATGATGTAGACAATGGAGAATCACGCACAAAGATAAAGACAGGGATCGGGCCGCCCTCCTGTTGCACGTGTAACGTGCACCGCCTATACACCCATGTCAACGCACACCAATCACATCATCTTACCTCCTTGCGCTGTACTGCCAATGCACGCTACAAAATGAAGGTGTTCTGGGAGTACGCTTGCACTAACAACCGGGTCATCGTCAGGCACAGTCCACTGCTGCAGCGTTGCAAGCAAGGGCAGATGACGGCTGATGATCGCAAGCACCTGTTTCACGCGTGCTCAAGAACATGTGTGAAGGTCATCAAGACCATCCGCTTCAACCGGTTTCCTCTCACCAATGCCGAGACCAAACAACTCCAGGATCTTGGGAATCTGAACGTCCTACACATCGTGAGGCAGTAAGTATGCCGTGCACAACAGAACTCGGTCCTTTGCTTCGCATCTCTGGTCTCTGGATGTACACATGAGCCTGCACACGTGTCATGTCATGTCAATTCAGTAGTTGGTGGTGGATCATGCGTGCGCCAGTACGCGCGCATGTCGACACAACAGTAGAAACATTCACAGACATAGTTGTGCACACATACGCATCTCAACGCACAAAATAAACACACACACGCACACGCACAAACAAACACACACGCACACACACACACACACACACACACACACACACACACACACACACACACACACACACACACACGCACACACACACACACACACACACACACACACACACCGTTTGCTGCGCCGCGTGAACCACCACAGCTCGAGTTGAAAGGGCCTTTGGCGCTGGTGTTGACGGCAGCACCAGCAGACCACCAGGCAACCAGGAAGACAGCTACAATCTTCAGCATGGGCTGCACATTCACCAAGAAACACGAAAGGGGGGGGGGGAGACCGCGATGAGCGGCAGGGCGCACAAACGCCAAGCACATGCGCTACAAGAAGGTCGAGTACCGCGCGTGCACGCACACACACACACCTCGCCGATGGAAGGTGCAAAGCGGAACAGCAGCAGCTGGTGGCGGTGAACGTGTGTTCAATCGTGCGTGAAGATGTGAGCAGTGTGAGTTTGCAGTGCGTTTGAGTAATCGATGATTGTCGCATGCACGTGCACACACATTCATACAAGCAGGCAAGAAAACGCCAGCAAGCACACACACACACACACAGATGCACACACACACACACACACACACACATATATAGATGCACACCTGAATGAAGCAGGTGGTGGCAGCAACTGCGCCCACGGCCACTGCAAAGGCATCCCTACCCTCGCAGCGATCCTCGTGGTCGCACACATCCCCCGCAACCGACTGCACGTGACACGACCCCACGCACGCAGTTCAAGGGAGGCGCTTGTGAGTGGCGTGTTTGCTTTGCAGTGCGGTAGCCAGAAGTCAACATACACACACATCGAGACACACACAGACACAGACACATAGATGCACACAGACACACACACAGACACACACACAGACACACAGACACACACACACACACAGACACACACACAAACAGACAGACACACGCACACACCATGCACGCACCATTTCAACAAGGGATGCAAAGAGGACGAGGAGCAGGCCCGTGTGCACAGTGGCAATCCTTGTGCGCAGTGCCTGGTATGCCATGGGCAACGCCAGTGACGTGTACATGGCCGCAGCGACAAACGCGATCCTGTTGGCCATGGAGGTGAACAAGTGTGCGAGTGAGCGAGTGAGTAAGTGAGCAAGCGAGCATTCCTCATACGTGGACCACCCAAGACACCACCCAAAAGCACATACGCATGCACAAACATATGCACTGAAACCCACACTCACACGCACTCTCCCACCACACACACACGCACACACACACACACTCAGCCACGTGCAAACACGTTCACGCACCATGTGGCAAAGTATGCGTTCTTGGTGGCTGAGAAGGGTCCACTGGTGCTGGTGTTGAAGGCTGCCGCAAACGCCCACATCACCAGCAAGACAATGGCCAGAATCACGTCCAGCTACATGCAGCAAGCGGAGGGAATAACACAAGGAGGAAAGGGAATGAAGTGTGAGCAATCCACAACCAGCAACAACCAGCGGATGTAGCATGGCGGCGGCAGTGTAGCAGGCACATGCACACACACATACACACACATACACACACATACACATACACATACACACATACACATACACATACACATACACATACACATACACATACACATACACATTCACATACACACCACGCCACCGACCTTGGAGTTGACGGGGCATTTCTGGTACAGGAAGCCGAGGCGTACGAAGCAAATGGTGGCGGAAATGACACCACACGCAATGGCCCATGCGTAGTATTCGTCATCGCACACCTTCGCTTCATTACAGCTATGTTAGGGGAGCATGTGAATGTGCGTGAGTCAGCGTGTGAGTGAGTGTGTGCATTGTGTGTGAGTGTGTGTGTGTGAGTGTGCGAGTGACAGCTCATGTAACGGCGGTGTGTGTCTGCGTGATTGGCAATCACGAATACACACACACACACACACACACACACACACCCCTTCATCCACACTCACACACCCGCACATCCAGCCCACACTCACTCGTCTGCGGCGGAAGCAAACTCGATGATGGAGGCGGCTAGCAGCACAAACAAGCTGCTGCCAATCGTGTGCCATGTCTTCGCCTCAGTCTCATTCTCATCGGGCATGGTGGTGGTGCTCAAGTGTTGGAAGCGGCAGTGATTGCAAGAGCAAGCAGAGATTGGAGAGCAAAGCTGAAGAAGCAACATCTGCTGCTTGAGGTGTCACCCGTTTAGAAATTTAATTGATATCTTGCACAAATCACCAACAACCAGCCTGTCAACCTTTCTTCCTTCCACCTTCTCTCTCTCTCTCTCTCTCTCTGTCTCTCTCTCTCTCTCTCACTCTCTCTCTCTCTCTCTCTCTCTCTCTCTCTCTCTCTCTCTTTGACCCTGTCATGACTCTCCCTCCTCCTCCTCCTCCTCCTCCTCCTCCTCCTCCTCCTCATGACGTTGGTGTTTGGTGTCCCTTCCGCCTTCCTCGCCTGCATCCTGCTCCGCGAGCGCGCCCGTGGCCGCTTCCTTCTGGATGAGCGGCGCCAGCGCGTCAACAAAGCTGAAGTAGCAGTACCTGACATCAAACTGCATGTCGTACCAAAAGTTCACTGCGATGCACTGGTTGCACGTGTGCGCGGCGCCCAGCTGCTCCACCTGGTGAAACCACATGGCCGGCAGGTACAGCACATCGCCCGCCTCCACCTCCACCACAAGTGGCGTCGCGCTGCGGAAGAGTGGATGTTGCCTGTAGTCCGGGTTGTTGGGATCCGCTGCAATCCACGGCCGCTCCACCGCGTGCTCGTCCTCTGTCTCAAACAGCACAAGCTCAAACCCAGCAGCACTGCCGTGGCCGTCGTCTCCGTTCTCGTTACTGTTGCTGCTGTGTCTGCCCTGGCTGTGGCCGTTCCTGCTACTGGTTTTGTCTTTGTTGGCACCGCCTTTACGGCTGCCGCTGCCGCTGTCGCTGTCGCTGGTGTCCTCGTGCCCGGTATCACCACCGTCTTCAGCACCATCACCATCACGCGTTCGTGCGGCGCCGTCGCCACCAACATCGCTGCTGCGTGCGCGCGGGACCCACCGTGCAGACTTGCACGGTGTCTCATACAAGTACGGCACAGCCGACGGATGATACAGCGTGAACCGCTTGGTCCCAGAGATGACCGCATACATGTTCTCATAGTGGTCCTAGGGGGAACGAGTGGGTGCGCACGTGTGTGAGTGCGTGTGTGAGTGTATGTGTGTGTGTGTGTGTGTGGGGGGGGAAGATGAGGGACTGTGAGTTCGTAACACGCTTGCGTAAGCGAATACGTGTGTGTGTGTGTGTGTGTGTGTGTGTGTGTGTGCTTGTTAGTTAATGCGTGCACGCTCCTGACAAGACAAAGAGGAGACACACTTCATCAACCTGACAGCCGAATCAGCAAACACTCGCACAAGCACAAGACCAGCGCCTACCCTTGAACACACCTTGTGCAGCGACGTGAGCGCTTCGGTAGGGCCCATCCTGGAAACAACGCAGTACACACGCGCACAGGAGGAGAGTGGGGAGTGTGTCAGGGGCACCAGAGCAAGCGGAGTGGCTTGCAAGTAAGGTGCGGTTACGAAAGCTTTGGGCATGCATCACGAGCTCTTGGTGCTTGACTCTCTGGAGGTTAGCTACGCAAAAGCATGTGTACACATGCATGTACACACACACACACACACAGACACATACGCATACATACATACACACACAGACACACCAACACACCAACACGCGCACACTCTACAAACACAAAAGTACAACCAGACACCAACCAGAAGTTTACGGCATCTGGCTTGCAGCCGAATGCCTGTTGTGCAAAGTCCAACGTTGTCGTGTCCACATCCTCCATCAGCACGCCCCCAAACTCGTCTTCGTCTGTCATACTGCAGAGAGCCCACACGCAGAAGCAACGGCAAGAAAGGGTTGAGGGTGAGACACACATGGCGGTATGTGCACATGTGCCACGAAACCACATGAAGAGCTTGATTCACACACGTGCAAACAACATTGATGCACACGCACACTCAGCACACACTTATACACACAACACACACACACACACACACAACACTCACACACACACAACACTCACACACACACACAACACTCACACAACACACACACACATACACACAACACACACACACAACATGCTCGCACCTGGAATTCTGATGGGAGACGTAGGAGACGGCGCCTGGGACAGGCTCCTGTGATCTCAGATACTCCCGGAAGGGCATGCGCTCCGTGTGCGGCAGAGCAAACACGCGCCCAAGGCGCTCATCATCCACAATCGCATCCGCGCGTCCGTTTGGCGTCACCTCCACCGACACTTCCACATCTCCGACCTTCTCCTCTAAATATGCCTTGGACCAGTGCCTCGTGCACCGCCAGCCTGACGCCAGGCCCTTGATCACGCACGGCCGGTTCGCAGATACGTACTCCCGCAAGAACTCAATCGCGCTTGGCGGCCTGTGCAACACTGGCACGCTCGAAGGCACCACCAAGTCGCGCAGCTCCTGCTGCAAAGCCTCAAATGCATCCCCCACGCTCACCATCGTTGCCTTCGTCTTGTAGCCAGGAGCGGATGATGACTCATCAACCACCACATCGCACAACAACACCACGAGAGTCGATGGAGGACAACAAGCACCCACCACCACAGTATGTGAGTGCAATGCAGCAGCAGCAGCAGCAGCAGCACCCACCACAGATGCAGTTGGAGCAGCAAGGTGGTGGCCCACAGAGTCATGGCAACGAGCACCACCACGACCACCATGCCGGCGCAGGTGGAGAGACTGAGCGCCTGGAAATGTACAGGTCCGGTCCGCCTGTGGTGTGTGTGTGTGTGTGTGTGTGTGTGTGTGTGTGTGTGTGTGTGTGTGTGTGTGTGTGTGTGTGTGTTGTGTGTGTGCGGGCCCTGTGTGTGTTGAGCGTGTGCATGTGTTGTGTGGTGCGTGTGTCATTCATGGCGCCCGTCTTTCAGTTCCTCACATTCGACGGGTTGCTGTGCGTGCCCTGGCAGCGATGCTGTGATTGCCATCGTCGCCACCGTCATGGCCATTCCACTGGCATCCCTCACGGAGGAAGAGGAGGAGAAAGACTACATCTTCCAAGTACTCAATGGTAAAGGCAAGCAGGTATACACACTTGTTGCAGGTGCAGTGGTGTGCGTGTGCCTGCATGTGCTTGTGCGTGCTGTGTTGTGCGTTTGTTTGTCTGTGATGATGGTGTGCCGCATTTCTGGCCGTCTTTGCTTGCGCACGCTGCCATCCTTTCAACTCACGGATCACACCTGTATCCTCCTCTTGTTACACATGCAGATTGCGTGGTTCGTCGCATCGTTCAACGTCAGTAGAGAGAGAGAGTGTGTGTGTGTGTGTGTGCGTGTGTGTGTGTGTGTGTGAAGGTTAGGGCGTGCGGTTGAGAGCTTTTGTGTGAGGGGGACTGTGCGCGCGTGCGCGTGCGCGTAAGTGAGTGGGTAAATCGATGCGTGCACGTGTGCGCATTGTACGTTGTGCCCCTTCTTGTGCGGGCTTGCGCCGTTGCCAGAGGTTGACCCACTCCCACTCGTCTGTCCTTATGCACTCATGCACTCATGCACTCATGCGCCCTCGCATGCATCCACGTGGTTCCCATTATCAGATGGTCGCATACTGGTGGGGTTACCACTCCGCTCTCATGCGTCAAGTGGAACACGTTACCTTCTGGACCATGGTGAGTGCATCAACGTGAAGCATTGCCAACTGAACGGAAGCCATGCGAAGCGCCAACACAAAACACCCAGCACACAAGTACCACCCACACTTCACACTGCAACTGCCTGCATCTCGCCTCCATCCTCTACACACACATACATACACACACACGCACACATACATACACACACACACACACACTGTTGCACCTTCTCTATTGCCTTTGAGCCTCCTCACGCCTCGCGAATGGTGATGCCGTGCGCCACTCAACCACCTATAGCTATGCAACCTGCTGTTCCTGCTGTCGCTGAGCTTCTACCCAATCTCATATGTCTTTGCGCAAGACTACATCCTGAACTGGAGAGCAACGTCGTTGTTCATGTCCATCCTGGTGTCAACAGCGCTTGCATTCGCCCTGCTCAGGTACAGCTTGACACACCCTATGATTGGCACGGGCCTGCCCATCCCACGTCACGCTGCATTGGCTGTCCCATATGCTCGCCCATCACCACCCACTGCCTTGCACACACACACACACACACACACACACACACAGAGCACCACTCACTACCTTGCATACACTGTACCATCCCCTACGTTGCGCTTGTTTATACCCCTCCAACTCGTCGGAGAACCACGATCCAAACATGCGCTCACCACCCACAACACACTATATTTTGTACCCCCCCCCCTCCACTGCCACACTCATCTGCACGATCAATGGACCACACAACCACACGACACAATCACGACACAATCGTGCCACGTCACCAGGATGCTGTCTCGGCCCTCCGCATGGGAGAGTCCTGCGCGTCGAATGGCGTGGAAGCTGTGCATGATTGAGGATGCAACGCACGTTGTTGTCCTTGGTCTGGCCCTCGCCGCTGTGCAGATCCTGCGTCTTGTTAACGAAGACTACATTGCCGTCGGCTGGGTCGTTGTTCTCGTCAAGACCATCTTCGACGTAATTGTGTACCGCTGGCACGTGCGGCGCCACCCGCGCCTCTTTGCAAACCCGTACAAGCCCGGCAAGACGCTGCGCAAGCGTCACTTCCTTCGCCTTGCCGGCTACGCTGACGTTCGCCGCAATCGCCTTGAAGCGTTCTCCGATGGCGTGTTTGCCATCGCTGCCACCTTCCAGTTCCTGGAGATCAAAGTGCCAACGCCAGACCAAGTTCCCTTCCCCTCGTTCACGGAAGCGCTCTCGGATGCCAGCTCGGACTTGGGTGCCTACCTCATCTCCTTTGGCGTCATCGGCATGCTGTGGATCAACCACCACAACATTGTCGAACGCTTCCAGTGCGTGCCGCTCTTGCTGCGTCTCGTCAACACGCAGCAGCTTGTGCTAGTGGCCGTGCTTCCTCTCTTCTTCAGCATCCTCGTCAACTTCTGGCCGGACCGGTCTGCCGTCATCTGGGCGAGCTGCGCCGTCGCCACCACCGGTCTGTTCCAGCTCCTCCTGTGGGGATTGGCCCGCTTCCTCCACTCGCGAGCGGTCGCCGCAAGCGCTTCTGTTGCCACGCGCACCCCCTCCGCCCACACCTCCTCGTCCTCCACACTTCTCTCTGCAAGCACGAGCAGCGGCAGCGGCCACAGCAGGCCTGGCTTTCCAACAGCAACAGCAACAACAGCAACAGCAACAACAGCAAGACCAATGTCTTCTTCGTCGTTGCCTGGACCGCCAACAACGCCACAAGCAGCTTCAACAGCAACAACAGCAGCACAACAACAGCGACAGCAAGAGGAGGAGGAAGGGTTGCAGCGGGAAGAAGAGCTTGTGCTGAAGTTTGATCCTTACGATTCCGTGCGCAAGCCGTACGTGGTTGCACAGCTGCTGGTCATACCCGTAGTCGGGTTTGGCACTGCGCTCGCTGCTCTGGGCTCATCCAGGGTGCACCTGTTCCCGTTTCTGCTCTGCCCGTTCCTGTACTGGCTGCTGAGCTCTCTCGAGGCACGTGCCGTTGGCACTGCCATCGCATTGCGGTACGGCGCCGGCACATCCGAACACCAACCGCTTGTGCAGCGCACAGAGTAGGTGTGTACTGCGTAGGTGGTGGCGGTGGGTTGTGGCGAGAGCGTTGGCGACGTTGTGTTGTTGTTGTTGATAAATGGTTGTGGCACACACGTGCCCCAACCCTCGCATTCCCTCAGTGTGTGTGTGTGTGTGTGTGTGTGTGTGTGTGTGTGTGTGTGTGTGTGTGTGTGTGTGTGTGTGTGTGTGTGTGTCTGGTTTCATTTACTTGAGACGGCTGTTTCGCCCCTGGCACGTTGTCAAGACATAGCTGAACCATAAAACTCCCTTCCTTCCGATGGAACAAAATGTGGGAGCAAGAGAACATGAGAGAAGGTGAGGCTTGCATATGGAGTTGCTCGACGCGCGCGTGCGTGCGTGCGTGAGAGACAGAGAGAGAGAGAGAGAGAGAGTGTGTGTGTGTGTGTGAGAGAGAGAGAGGCTGCTTCATGTGTGTAACAACACGGTGGAGGTTGATATGAAATAACGAGAAGCCAAGCGATTGATAATCGCAGCAGCGCGCGATGTGTCCACACGAGCCGTGATCATCGCAGGAGCACTGATCGTCGTGTCATGCAAAGAGGGCTGGCGATGGTCCTTGAAAGTCCACCTCCGCCTGGCATCAATGCAGAATGGGGAACACATCAAGTGAGGTGGAGCAAGAAGCAGCATGGGCACGAGAAAAGCCGCAGTATTCGTCGTGCAGGGAGGGAAAGAAGGCGAGGGAAGATGTTGTACTTTCAAGGGGATAACACACATACACAGAGAGAGAGAGAGGCACACACACACACACACACAGGCAGACACACAGACAAACACACAGACAAACACGCGCACGCGCACAAACACAACACACACAAACACGCGCGCACACACACACACACAGACAAACACGCGCACGCACACACACACACACACACACACACACACACACACACACACACACACACACACACGTCGGCACGTACGCTGGGGAAGCGACGGGCGAGCACATCCAAGATGGGCGGTTTGTTGTTCCTGCGCCAATCCCTCAATTCGGCGGCAGACACTTCATCCTCCGCAACCCAGTGGCAAAACCCGCACACGGACACGTGTTGTGCACACTCCTTGCAGAACTCTGCCTCCTGTGTTGCAGAAGCATTTTAGAGAACAGAGGAGGTGTGGTGAACAGTAGCACAAGTGACATGAGCCATGCGAGACGGGCAAAGACGAACACAGAGACACGCAGGCACATAACCACACACGCACACACACGCGCGCGCGCTCATACAAGTGAAAACACACACAGCACAGCTCGTACCGGGTCGTTGTACGCAGAGTAGACTGGCGGGCGCTTCAGGTGGCAGTCGCGACAGCGCCACTTCTCCCCAGGCGGTGGACGTTTGGTCCCGTCCTCCATGCACCCATCAGGGTGACACACAACCATGTACTCGGCCTTGCCCGTCTGCGAATTCGTGCGGGTGGTTATCACCTCCTGCAGTCGTGGTCGTTGTTGGTCGCAGCAGCAGCGGCAGGGGCAGTGACAGCGTTGTGGAAATGTGACATGTGGGGGATGAGCACAGGCCAGATGGCCAATTGTTGGGAAGGGAGGGGCAACGTGTCGAGGGAAGGCGGGCGTGTATGCGTGCGTTGACGTGCAACTGTGTGTGGGTTGTATTCGCATGCACAATCGCACAATCAGACAATCACACACAAACAGAAACACACACACACACACACACACGTACCTTGATGCGGCGTTTGCGGTTCTCTTGCTCGAGCGGGTTGTCTGGATCGGAGGTGGTGCCGCCAAGCGGATACAGAACAAACGTCGACACGCGCACGCTGTTCGCGGGATCTGATGCAAGGTGGTCAATAGTGGATCATGATGGTGGTGGTGATGACGATCAGGTGTAAGGTTAATGGAGGTGAAGACCACCACTTGCTTGGTTGGTGGACACACACAAACCACAAGCGCGCGCACGCACACACACACACACACACATTGACAGACAGACAGACACACACACTGAAGCACACACACTGAAGAACACACACACACACACACACACACACACACACACTGAAGCACACGTGCTCGCCCGTACCTGTGCGGTTGAGGCCGTTGCAGTGGTGCATGGTGTATGCAACGGGCTGTGCACCCACGGGCTGGCTCGCCTGCTCCTGCTGGTATGTCGCCATAGACGCTGCCATGGCCTGTCGCATTGCCTCGTCATCGTCGCTCGCGTTGTCATACAGCGGGTGCACGTTCCAGTCATCACCATCTCGCCCAAAGTCAAAGTTGGGGGGAAGCGCGAGCGGTCCGGAATTGCTCCCGTTGTCGCTGTCGGTAAACGCGTTTGTGCCGTTGTCGCTGTCGGTGAAAGTGTTCGTGCTGCTGTTGTTTGCAGCAGCTGTCGTGCTGGCGTCGTTGATACTGCCGTGGCTATCGTTGTGGCTGCTGCTGCTGTTGTTGATGTGTTCGTTGACGTTCTGGGCGGTGTTGTCGAACGTGAACGCGTTGGGTGGCGCACCTTGCGACATCATCCTGGCCAAGCCGGTGGCTGCAGCTGCTCCTGTTGTCAATGTTGCGGCGGCGGCGGTGGTGGCGCAGCCTGGGTTGGTGGTGACGACGGGGTTGTGCCTGCCGTCAGTGGACGAAGAGGAGGGGCTCGACACACCGGGACTGTCTTGCAGTGAGGCCGCCAGCGCCAGCTCCAGTGCTTGCTGCTCATCCATGGTCGGCTGCGTGTTTGTTTGTGTGTGTATGTGTGTGTGTGTGTGTGTGTGTGTGTGTGTGTGTGTGTGTGGTTGTGTGCGAGTGAGCCAGTCGGGGAGAGAAGGGGAGCGAGTGAGTGAGTGTGCGGATTTGAATCAGGATGCGGCTCACGCAGGTGCAGACAAGCTCGACTGCAGGAACACATGCGCAATTGTGTCAAGGTGCACGTGGACGCGATTGTAGCTGTTTCGCACGTCTTGCAAGGAGAGGTTTGAAGTTTGAGTGGCGAGCGTCGGTGTTGCCGTGTCATAACCTGTGTCCAAGGAACGGAATGTGAGACATTGAGCGGAAAAGAACAAGAGACAATAGAGCGAGGCTGGGTGTGAGGGAGAGATTCACAGACAATAGAAATCACCTCACACAACCCCGCAACATGTACTCATGCCTGCCACGATGCACACACACACACATACACATACACACACACAAAACGCACGCACACACACACAAAACACAACAGCATCGCATGCACGAACCTCTGGGACAGTGGCGCTTCGTTTCGTCTCCATCGCTCGCAGGGTCTTGGTCGGACCGTCGCTCTGAACAACGGAAACAGCAAAATGCCGCGCGCGACAGCAGAGAATGATGGGAAAGCGAGACGCCCGGGGGGGGGGGAGATGGCAACGAGCAGCAGCATGTATGGCATGACGTGACATGATGTGAAATGATGATGACACGATGCTTTGACGATCGTCATCCGCTATCTTGAACCCAGGCACAACACAAACAACAGATGACACACACACACACGTACAAGAACACAATGCACACACACATGCACACACACAAGAACACACACACACACACACAAGAACACACTGCACACACACAAATACACATGCAGAAAATGTCCAACCAATGACACACAGGCTCACTTTCGGAGCGCTTCTGCAGATCAAGACTGCCGTGCTGGCGGTGGACAATGTCAGCTGCTCTCGGGGTCTGCAGGAGAGAGTGCAAGGGCAGCCTTCAACTCATCATCCTCTTCATCGTCATCATCGCCGTGATCATCGTCGTCATCATCATCAATAGCGTGTGCACCGCCAGCAGTCCCAGTCACAGCATTGTGTCTGCGATCGTCCGCTGCCGCTGTTGCAGGAGCAACCGGAGTGGTGGCGACCGTGGCAGTGGTGGTGGCCTGGGCTGTTGATGGTAGCAGCGAGGGCGGCGCCTGTGTGATTGGCTGTGGCACAGGTGTATCCGCGGCAGTGTTCATGGCTGTGCTGGGGCCCTGCGCACCAGGCATTGTTGTTCGCACAGGAAAGGTTGCGTTTGGAAGCGAGTCCAGCGCGTGGGTCATATTCTGAAACCTATCCTGTTGTTGTTGTTGCTGCTGCTGCTGCTGCTGCTGTTGTTGTTGTTGTTGTTGTGGTTGTTGTTGTGGTTGTGCCACTGGTCCCGGGATGGCGGGAGGGAGCGGGTCCTGCAGTGCTGCTGCCTGCGCCAGCCCCTCAAGGTCGAGCGGCTGTGGCGGCGGCACAACCTGCAGCAGCGATTCGTCTGCACAGAACACAACCGTGTAGTGGTTGCCAGCTGACACGAACACGCAAGCATGTACGAGTACGTGTGTGTGCGAGAGAGAGAGAGAGAGAGAGAGAGAGAGAGAGAGAGAGAGAGAGAGAGAGAGAGAGAGAGAGAGAGAGTGTGTGTGTGTGTGTGTGTGTGTGTGTGTGTGTGTGTGTGAGCTGACCGTGGCAGATGTCGCATGGAAGAAATCACTTTGAACGAAGACGAGGTTCACGAGAATGTACAAGCACAACCAATCACACGCACACACAGACACAGACACACACACGGACACAGACACAGACACACGCACACGCACAGGCCCACACACACAGGCGCACGCACACACACACACACGCACGCACAACACCAACTCAATAAGCACACAGTGCACATTGCATGCCTCACTGTCCTCACCGTGAGCAACCCAGACTGGGTAGAGCGGGTTGAGGAAGCGCTGTGCGGGGACAAACGCTTCTTCAGATGTGAGGAAGCCAACACGTGGCATGCCGTCCCAACTTGCCCACGAGTCTTCATCAATCTGATGGAGATGGTGGTGAATGACAGCAAATGATGATGATCATCATTATCGTAATGATGATATTGGTGAGTTCGATGATGATGTCCATGAGCTCAACACGCCGCCAACACACACACACACACACACAAACACACACACACACACACACACAAGTACACCCCAAACGCACACACACACACACACACACCTCCTCCTTTGGGACGCCTGTGAGGATGAGGTTGACCAAAATCTGGTCGCACGTGCTGTCGGCGTACACGAGCGACGTGATGCCGGACATGGACTGGCGCACGCGCTCTAGGCCACACGTGAGCAGCAGCGAGTACATAAACTGCACAACCCCGCCCACGTCGGTGAACTCGCCCATGCGCGCGGCAATGGCTGCGCGCAGCTTGTCTGCGTCGTCAATTGACAGAACAACCGGTCGGCGCTGCTGGTAAAACGCGTCTGCCAAGCACGTGGCGGGCGCATCGGAGGGTGGCGCCGGCTCAAGGGACCGCACCACCAGCTTTGTTGGCTGCTGCGGGGTTGGCTTTGCCTGAAGCAGCGGTGCGGCGAGTGCGCGGACGAGCGCCTGTCGAACGTCATCTGGTGTGGCCACGGCAATGGCGATGGAGGGCGAGCCGTCCGACGGCCACAGCAGCTCCTGTAGCAACAGCGCCTGGACACCCGCCAGCAACCCGCATGGCCCTACACGTCGACACACGCATGTGCAGACCACAGCAGGTATGTTTGTGGGCTGTCATGAGGGCACAGGGTGGTCGACTAATAAGAGCACATGCTACAAGAAGCCGGGGGCATCGACTACAAAGTCGTGCACAGGCAAACAAGCACACACAGAGACAGACAGACAGAGAGGCAGGCAGAGAGGCAGAGGCAGAGAGGCAGGCAGAAAGGCAGGCAAACAAATGGGTAAAGGGACCAACAGACAAACACACACACACACAGACACACACACAGACACACACACACAGACACAGACACACACACACACACACAGGCACACAGGCATCGACACACATCGACACACACACACACACACACAGAGAACACACAGGGTTTATGGAGAACATGCTGCACCACAGTTAAGCACTTGAATTGTACGATTGCCAGATACCGTTTGCGTGTTGCTTGAAGAAGCAGTTTCCCTCTGGAACGGGCTCACAGCTGAAGCCTTGTGAGAAGTAGGCGCGTTGAGCGCCTGGGTTGTCTTCTGGCCATGTCACGCCACACAGCTCACGGTGCTCCTCCACGTCGAGAGGCTCTGCCATCGGTGTGTCGGGATTGAAGACTGTCGCAGACAAGTCAAGAGGGAAGGTAAAGGCTGCAGGAGGCACAATAAACAAATCGCTCCAAAAAAAAAAAAAAAAGGTCGCAAAGACACTGCGATGCCGCTCAGCGTTTGTCCTGCATAAGGAGCACAAGGAAGTGGTTCATGGTGTATGTGTGTGTATGTGCGCGTGAGAGAGAGAGAGAGTTGATGTCCAAGATAACCATGGATGGATGTGATGTGCTGGTGGTGCCATATCGCATGCATGGTGTGTCATTCTGTTTCAACTCCATGCAGTGGCCAACATTTCAGCGCGTTTGGAGTGCGTGAACTGTTAGATGGCACCCACAAACAACCCAAACACCCAAACACATAAACACACAAGGACATGCAATGGCAACCGCTCAACCGTAGACACAAAGGCACACGCTCACGGACGCACCGGCTGCTTGGATTCCTCTGCTGCGGTGAGGACAAGGACAACAACAACAGGCCAATCGACAAATGAGCGCGCGTCGGACACCACCAACACAACAAGGACACGAAAACAAGGCAAGTATTGGCTATTCGCCAATATCTTCAAACAATAATCGACAGGCAAGCGGAACAAGAGGCAAACAAGCAAGCAAGCAAGCAAGCAACAAGGAAGCAAGCAACAAACAACGCGATGGCGCACCACCTGCCTTCGTCGAACCCAAAGGCGTTCACGAAACCATACAAGCCGCTGGTGAGCGCACGCCTGTGTGCGTACTTTTGTATGTGTGCGTGTGTGTGTGCGTACGTATCAGTGAGTGAGTGAGTGATCGAGAGATGCTTGAGTTGAGCAGGTGCGTGTGCGTGTGTGCTGATGGTCACTCACACAACAGATGATCATCATGCTGGACAGTCGCAATGTCTGATGCCAACATGGAGGCCAACGTATGATACAAGCCCGCGCACAGGTTGGAACCTCACAGGCATCATGAACCCTAGTTGATCCCAAGGCTGGAATCGCACACTCGTCTTTCCTGTTTTGCTTGTTGCTCCTACTGAGACTCACAGCTATGGACCGTGCACGCAAACACACACACACACGTGTCGCCCTGCCTGCTTGGTTGGTTTTGTGTGTGTTCACCACACCACAGTGGTGCACAACTCGCAAGAATCACTCATCATCCGCCAGTTGAAGGTGAGTAACCACCTTTAGTTTTTTGAAGATCTGTCTTTGCAACAACGCATGCACACAACATCCCACGCCCACACACGCACACACGCACCCCCCGCCCAAACACACCTGATGCAATACGTGCAGAACGCGCGCATGAACGACAAACAAGGGGAAGGCGAAGGCAGCGACCGTGTGGAGTCGACACCCGAGCGGAAGGCGCGCGTAACAGACAGCTCCCCAGATGCGCGGCCATCAAGTACAGAAAAGCGGCCCAAGGTCTCGCAAAACGACACAAACTTGTGAACAATGCTTTTCCACATTGTGTGCTTACTGACTCTGCACGTGGTGTGTGATGTGCGAGAATATTCGACGTTGCGTGTGTGTGTGTGTATCATTCGTTGATCGGATCAGGCACTCATAGCAGTAAAAGACGAACAAATGAAACCAGCGTGGTCAAGCAAGAGGTGGAGGCCGGGAGGGGGGGGAGGGAAGAGAACCAAACCGATGCAGAGCAAGTGGCCAAGGGGCGGGCAAGTGAACGAACAAAGCAATCAAATCACCTAGGCAGTGGAAATTGGTGGTGGTGGTGGGGCGGAATACACACGGGTACATTACCACACACACTACACACACACACACATCAGATACCAGAGCGACAGCCATGTGCCTTCGACACAGACTCACTCACTCCTACCGCTGAAAGTGACATCACGTCGAGAAACACGACAACATCGGAGAGAGCACGACGCAGAGACAGGGACAGGGAGAGAAAAGGCAAATACGCGCACACATACACACACACTCTCTCGCACGCGCACACACACAAGCACAAACACACACACCCATACACAGACACACACACACATACACAGACAAACACACACCACGTGGCAGGATTTATGCGCTGGACTCTGAGCCGACGCCGTAGACACACGCGGGGCACTTCATCAGGCCGTGCTCGTTGCACGCCGTGCACTTGAGCTTCACAAGCTCCTTTCCAAACCGAGACATCATGCTCTGCCATCCATGCCAATGCAATGTAGTCGTGGTGTGTGTTGGGTGTGAGTGCAACAGGTGTAAGTGGAAGCGGAAAGGGCACTCGCTGCTTCGCAAACGCATGTAGTTGTAGAGCACGCGCACACACACACACACACGCGCGCGCACACACAGACACACACACGCACACACGCGCACACACAGACACACAAGCAAACGCGTGCACACAACCGTTGACGTGCTTGCTCGTGTGTGCTAACCTTCTTGTCGCCGCCACACCACGTGCACAGCACAAAGCGGCGGTCCGCACACACGTCGCAGTGGAACTCCTTCTCCTTCTTCCGGCGCTGTGGTGATGGTGGTGGTGAGATCACACGGGATGCGGATCGTTGGAGATGGGAAGGTTACTCCATGGAAGATGGAAAGCAACACACACACAGACACACACATACATACATATGCACATGCACACAGACACACACACACACACATGTGCACATGCACATGCACGTACCGGCACTTTGGCGAATTTTCCACGGAGCTCATCGTTCTCATTCATACGATGCAGGACTTCCAGACCCTGCGGTGAACGGCAGTGGGGTGACGTGAGGAGGTGTTGTGAGGCGAGCAGTAGTACGGCACACAGACACACATTGACACACACAGACACACACAGACACACAGACACACAGACACACAGACACACAGACACACACACACAGACACATAGCCAACCAACAGAGTGACAAGAACAAAACAAAACCCAACTGAGCAACCAACGCAAAAACAAGACACGACCACGCACCCCCATGTGGTGTCCGTTGAGAAAGAGCTGTGGCACCGATGCACCGGGCAGCCGCTCGCGAAGTTCGCGCTGATAATCGCGACTGAGGGTGATGTCTCGCTCCTCATACTGCACAAGGAGCCCGTGAAGAATCTTCAGCAGCTGCTGGCAGTTCCAGTATGTTTCCTTGACGGTGGATACGCTTGTTGTGTACACAACAATCTTCCCGCCGACGCGCTCGGCCTCGGCCTCCTCTTTCTGTCAAGCGTGATGCATGATGCAGGCAGGGGGTCGGCGTTGGAAGCGGAGGTGAGGGTGGCGAGGACAAAGCGGGCGGGTAACAGGGGTCACAAGTATGCAGCAACACACACACATACACATGCACAGGTGCATGCACAAACACGAAAACACAAACAAACAAACAAACAAACAAACAAACAAACAAACAAACAAACAAAAGCACAAAAAAACAAACAAACAAACAAACAAACAAGCAAGCAAGCAAATACACACACACACACACACAAACAAACAAACAAACAAACATGCGCACCTCACGCAGCTCGTCTGCGAGCGTCTTCTCCTTGATTTCCTCCGCCTTCTTCATAAAGAACTTGCGGAAGCGCCCAACAACGCCCTTTGGCGCAACAACCGTCGACCGACGGGCACTGCTGCTGCCATCACCAACACCACCAACACCGCCGCTGCCCGAGCCAAGGTTGATCATGGAGCGGCCGCGTGGCGTCGCCGGCGCAGACGTGGAGATGGTGGCAGCGCGCTGCGTGAACCGCATGCGGAGGTCGGCAATGGACCCCCGCTTGCCGACAACCGTGCCGCGACGTGACACAATCACGTCCTTGTTCTCGTTGCGCGGGTCACCCGCGTTGTCGGGCTTGCTGTCTGCCGCCGACGATGGTGATGACGACGCCGCCACCATCCCTGGTCGCGCCATGAGGTTGGCGCTGGACGCAGCGGGCGTCGCAGGACACGACTGCGCCATGGCCCTGCGCGTGGTCGTTGTTGCTGCTCCTGCGGTGCTGGCACCAGGCTGCTGATCGTCTGTGGAAGCGGCGTTGTCCTGGTCGCTCTTGGGCGGTGTCATGCCCACGTGGAACGTGAACGACGACGACTCGCCAGCACGCCCGCTGCCGACGGAGGCGCCACTGCCCTTGGTTGGCGACTGAAGTGTACTTGGTGGAGAGCGAGGGGAGTGCATAGCGTGCGAAGATGCAGAGGGCGTGGTTGGCCCTGATCGTCCCGCCACAAACGTGAGCGGCATCTCCGCTGTCTCAACTGCCGACGCCTTGCGTACGCCAGGCACGTCGTTGGTGTCATTGTTGTCCTGCGCATCACGATCGCGCCCAGATGTGGCTGGCGTTTGTGGTGCTGTGCTGCTTGGTGCTGCCGTTGCACCTTGCTGTGGAGTCGTTGTTGGCGCTGCGGTTGCTGCCTGTGTCGTTGCAGATGTGACAGCAGTTGCAGATTGGTTTGCAGAGCTGTCGCTGTTGCTCGTGGTCGTGGGTGGCCCTTGCGCTGGTGCTTGGGCCTGGGCGACCACAGGAGCCGTCATGGCTGTGTCGGGAACGTGTGGTGCTGCGGAGGACTTGGGAGCAGTGCTCGTGAGTCTGGATGCTTGGTCACCACCTTCGTGATCGTTCTGTCCCCGCTGCACGGCCTCCACCTGATCTTGCTGTTGCTCTTGCCGCTGCTGTTGTTGCTGGTGGGCCTCTGTGGGTTGCCGCTGCGGCGGTTGTGGTGCCTGTGGCTGCTGTGTTGGTTGTTGTTGCTGCTGCTGTTGGTGGTGGGGCGGTTGTTGTTGTGTTGGTGGTGTCGATGATGAGGGCACAGAGGACTGTGCTTGATTCTGATCCGTCGCTATTGCGGGAGCTGTGGTGGGTGGAGGGGAAGATACGGTGGATTGCTGGTGGGGTTCACGTGTTGTAGTACCTTCCTGCTGGCCTGCTTGTGACGCTGAGGATGCAGGTGCTTGATGTGTGTCCAGCACGGCAGATTCCAACGTCGCCTGCACGGTGGTCAATGTCGCCTCGTTCTCATTGTAGTATGCCTTTTTCCCTGAGTCCTCTGACTGCTGTTGCTGTTGTTGTTGTTGCTGCTGTTGCTGTTGTTGTTGTTGTTGTTGCAGGAGTGCTTGTTGTTGTCGTTCTTGTTGTGATTCCCCTTCTTCCCTGTTGACATGTGCCGCTTGCGCTTGCGCCCTCCGCTCACCTTCCGCTGTCGCATCCATCCTTGTGTGTCGCTGGTCGTCTTGTGCTCTGAATCCGCTCCAACACAGCACGATGGCCATTTAATGGAAGTTGTTCGCAAATTATCTACAGAGCGCAGCGTGAAGGATGTTGTTGTTGTTGTGACACATGACTTGTTGCTTCTCCCACACACCACCGTGCCTGACTCAGCGTTCTCACATCAATCAACAACGTTCACGTGACCTGTTTACAGTAGCTTTCACTCCACTTTCATGTCCCTGCTACCAGTCACGATGTACAGTGCACCGTCATGCTAGCGGCGGCGGACGGTGCGATATGCAGAGGCGAGGCGACGCCATGATGAGAGAATGGCCAGCCCTGTTGGAACAAACAGCGGCACATACACCGCATACTTCTGGTCCTCGGGAAACAAAGAGGACGCCAGCAGCCCAGGGTCGTACGCAGATGCCTCTGCAATGCGACAGCATGTGGCACGTGGTGTGTAGTGTGTCAGCGTGTGTGGTGTGGTGTGTGATGTGGTGAAAGGGGCGAAGTGAGACAAGAAGTGAGGTGGGTAGGTGTTCGTTCACAAGCGAGGGAAGAAAAGAAGAGGAGCACACGCAAACATGAACAGGCACACACACACACACACATACACACACACACACGCACACACACGCACACACACAAATGCGCACACACACAAATGCGCACATGGTCACCTGCGTGGTGGTGCGCCTGGCGGGCGTGTGCGAGAGCAGCAGCCCAGTCTCCGCTTTCCGCTGCCAGTTGGGTGGCGTGTAGTTCATCGCACGCCTGCTGCGCCACGGCAGCAAGCCGCTTGTCCACAACGAGTGTGGGCAGGCTGTCCAACAGGGCAGAGAAGCTCAGCAGCAAATCGCGCGCTGCGGTCACCAGCCGCTCCAGCAGCACGCCGCGCGCCGCACCCATCTCGCGCGGCAGCAGGGCTGCCTTGTCATCAACATGAACACGCGGGCACACGCCCATGATGTTCCTCAAGAAATGTACAAAGTGCGGCAGAGCGTGCTGTGCAGACAGCGTTGATCTCCGCGACCGTTTTCCAGCGCTGTCGTTGCTGCTGCTGGGCATTGCATCGGCGGTTTCCTTATCACTGGCGCTGTGGTCTTCGCAAGGCGTCTGTGGTAGCAGCACAACGCCGCCCCAGCCAGGCTGCCAGTATGACCTGGACGTGTGTTGTTGGTGCTGCTGTTCCTGCGGGGCGCCTTGCCGCTGCTTGGATCCCGGGCAAGCTGGTACGTACACTGCCAAGTTGACGGTGCACGTTGTCTGCACACTGCCCACGGTTTGAAACACGTGCGCCAGGACCTCCCGTCGTACATGGCTGCTGTGCTGCTGCTGTCGTTGGGAGAGTACTGGCAGGGCTTGCGCGGCTTGTGTGTGAAATTCAACGGCCGCAGCATCCCCCAGGATGGCGCGCAGTGACGGATCGGCGTCCCGCAGCCGTGCACGCAAGTGCGTCGTGTTGTCCCAGGCCACGAACGTTGCCTGCGGGCGCGCGTTCAAGATAGTCACGAGCAGTCGCGGTTGGACACAAAGTGGCAGCGTCTGCGTGTACTTGCTCGAGCAGGAGGACAACTGTTTCGGGTCAGCATCAGCAGCATCGGTCGTGTCAGAGTTCGTGTTGGTGTCGGTGTTGGTGTTGGTGGTGGTTGCGTTGGTGTGGTGAGCGAGGGCCTTCAGGATTGCGTCGACGGTCTGTTCAATGTGGACGCCTGTGCCGACACTTCTACTGGAGATGTCAGGCGGCAGTGGTTGTCGCTCTGGCGTTGTGCTGTGGATCCAAACGGGGACACAAACACACAAGCACAAGCTCGACACACAAGCCACTGCCGCCACAGCAGCAGCTGTTGGCTTCTTGTTGGCAGCCGTCATCATCGTTGGTCGGTGATGAAAATTGACGAAAGTCTTAAACAAATTATCCTCACAATTTTCGTCTGCCAACGCACAGTTTGAACGGTTGCAGGATCGAGTGGGAAGTTGTCGCAGAACAGAGATAGAGGAGACAGCGGAACAGAGCAGAGCAAAAAACAACAAGGGAAGGAGAGCAAGCGGACGGACGAGCATGCGTTCCATGCCCGTGTGGGTGGACACGGTCCACAACCAACAAGGCGAACGCCAGAGGTTCGTGAAACAGTCAGTGGGGTGACAGTGAGTGTGTTTGTGTGTGTGCATATGTTTGTGTGTGTGCATGTTTGTGTGTGCATGTTTGTGTGTGGGTGTGTGTATGCATGTGGATACACTTGGACACACACACACACACACACACACACACACACACACACACACACACACATACAACACGCGCCCACACGCATCGTTGTTGTTGCTGCTCACGCACGGTTCAACAACAAACACACACACACACACCCGTTTTGTTTTGTTTAGCATCTACTCTCTGGCATTTCGGCCAGATGGCACGCAGCTCATCGCCGGTGCCGGTGCTCGCGTTCTGGTAAGACAACCAGGCATGAACGAGGAGGAGGAGGGAGGGCACGGGTGGAAACAACGAGTTGTGTCAGGGCACTATCGTTTCGTGTGTTTGTGTTTTGATAATTGCACGAACGTTGTTCATGCGCGTTGTCAATGCGCGTTCGTCAGGAGCTCCAACTCACCACGGTTGAATGAACCTCGTTTGTGCTCGAATGCTGTGCTCCATACCGTGCGCTAGGTGTACGAGGTTGCCGACGGCCAAGTGATTGCCTCCCTCAAGGGCCACAAGGATGTGGTGTACTGTGTTGCCTTCTCCAACGATGGCACGTTGTTTGCCAGTGGCGCCGCTGACAAGACGGTCATTGTGTGGGACGGCCGCACCCTCTCTGGCCAGCTCAAATACAGGTACGCTGACGCAGCCCCAGATTCTGTGATTGTGTGTGTGTGTGTGTGTGGTTGTATAGTTGTGTGTGTGTGTGTGGTTTTCCTGTGCAATTGTGGAGGTGCCATGGTTGGTTCTTGAATGGCGTCTGTGTGTGTGGACCGTATGGTCGAATTGAGTCCCGATTGTTGTGTTGGGTGATGCTGCCCGGCTTCCGTCTTATTTTCACACATGCATGACCCACTGCGAATCATGCTGTTGCTCCTCTTTCCGCAGCCACAACGACACCATTCAAGCGCTGGCCTTCAACCCGCTCAACAACATTCTCGCCAGCTGCTCCTCCTCCGACTTTGGTGCGCACGTGTGTGTGTATGTGTGTGAGTGTGTGAGTGTATGTGTGTGTGTGTGGTCATTGTGCGCCAGACACGGTTTGCGCGTAAATGCGTGCCGTGCACGACATTGTTCTCACTCGCAGCATGTGCACGCCCTCTCGTGCGCCGCGCTGCCTCCATATCCAGGGTTCTGGTCCAAGGACATCACCACTGTTGAGAAGACGCGTGTATCTTCCCGCATCTGCGCAGCCAGGTATGATGCACTTTCCCGTGGTGTACGGGGCCGTGTGTGTACTTGTGTGTGTGTGTGTGTGTGTGTGCGTGCGTGTGTGTGTGTGTGCGTGTGCGTGTGTGCGTGTGTGTGCTTTGCATGCGCGTTTGCAATGGGTTTCTTCCAATCTGGTCAGTGTGACCTTGCGCTGACTGAGACAACAATGGCTCCTCCCTTTCCCGCCTCTGTTGATGCTGCAGCTGGACCAACGACGGCCAGTACATTGCCCTCGGCCACTTCAACGGCAACGTCAGCATCCGCAACCAGGTCCGATCGCCGTGGTCGTAGCGCCACATCACAGCACCATGAGTTGGCTATGTCCGACATGACAATGCCTCCCATTCATCGTAACACTCTGCATGCTTGAGCCATTTACCCTCACACACACAATCCCCCCCCCCCACACACACAATCACACAATCCCCCACACAAATACACACATACACACAATCGCACAATGACACAATTCCTTCTGCACGCTGTGCACCGGCAGCGCGGGGAGGAGAAGGTGCTGATTGACCGCCAGGGCCGCGGTCCCGTCTGGTCCCTCCAGTACGTTGTGATGATGGTGGTGGTGGTGGTATTGCCTGCTGGTCGTGTGTTTGGTTTGCACAATGATCTGGCTGCTCTTGGCACCGTTGATTATGGCCATATTCTGCGCGTGTGCGTACAGGTGGAACCCGAGCAAGAACGAGAAGACGGACACGCTCGCTGTCTGCGATTGCAACCAGCGCCTCAGCTTCTATCTCCTCAGCGGCCGCCAGGTTTGTACTGGTCGTCGTCGCAGTTGTGACCGTGCTGGTGAAGAAGTTGTGGAACGTGGTTGACGTTTTTGTGTGTATCAGTCAATGAATTCTCACACTCATGCTCATTCTCACTCACAACGACACAAACGCGGGTGCGCGCACGCACACACACACACACATACACACATACACACACACACACACTTCCCCACTACTCACACACACACACACACAACCAGATTGGGAAGGAGCGTGTGCTGGACTACGACCCGTGCTCGCTGTCGTACTTCTCTGACGGCAACTACCTGGTGATGGGCGGGTCGAACCGCAAGGCCGGGCTGTACACGCGCGACGGCATCCACCTCGGCGACATCTGCGAGCAGGAGGGCTGGGTCTGGTCTTGCGCTGCACGGTAATGTCATCAATGTGAAACCACAACAACAGCTAGCAACAATCGCAACAACACAGCAGCAGCAGCGTGCAAGTGTGTGTGTGTGTGTGTGTGTGTGTGTGTGTGTGTGTGTGGCATGTCACGTTCGGTTGCTGTATGCGTGCGCAAGTGATGTCTACGTTTGATGTTGTGCATCAAATTTCTCTTATTGCCACGCGTTGGCTTTTCATCACTTTCCGCTCATCCCATTCACCACACACACACACACAAACTCACAAACATACACAAACACACACACAAACTCACACACACACACATTACTGAACGAAAGGCCTGGCCAGAACTACGTGGCGGTTGGCTGCCAGGACGGGACGATTGCGCTGCACCACCTCGTCTTCTCCACCGTGCACGGCTTGTACCGGGAGCGGTACGCGTTTCGCCGCAACATGACCAACGTCGTGGTGCAGGACCTCTCCGCCGGCACAGAGTCGCGCGTGCCGTGTCGGGAGCTCGTCAAGAAAATTGCCATCTTCAAGGTACCGCCGTCGGATGGTGGTGGTTGCCCAGATGATGGTGGTGGTATCAGTGGTAGCGTTGATGATGTAACACTTTCATCGTCGGTGTCCAGCGTCCCACCACCACCCATACCAGCGCGGTGGCGTGTTGCCTCGCCCAACTCACCCATGCACACACACACATACACATACACATACGCACACATATACACACACATACGCACACACATACACACCCACCACCAACAGAACCGGCTTGCGGTGCAGCTGCCGAAGCAGATCAACGTGTATGAGATGGAGGCGATGGACAGCGGCAAACTCAAGTTCCGCCTCATGGTGCGCCCGATCGTGCGGTGTGCAGCGGGATATATTGTGGTGTTTGTGTGTTTTCAGAAGCTGGCGATGATGAGCGCTGCTGGCGATGTGCTGGAAGCAGTCCGTGTGCGCACATTTTGGTTCCCCTCTCACCCAAGTGCACGTGCACACGCACGCGCACGCGTGCGCACGCACACATGTTCGCGCCCGATTCAGTGCAAGCTGCGGCGCAACTTTGAGTGCAACCTGTTGGTTGTGTGCTCGAAGCACATCATCCTGTGCCAGGAGCGCCGCCTGCAGAGCTGGACCTTTGACAACCAGAAGGAGAGGTGCGACTGGTGTGATTGATGTGATTGGTGTGAATGGTGTGATTGGTGATTGATGTGAATGGTATGAATGTTGTGAATGTTGTGGTTGGTGCGCGCCCCATGTTGTCGCATGCACGCGTGTTTTGTACATGTTTTGTGTGCATGCCTTTGGAGCGTTGCATGCACATGCACGCGAACACACATCCCGTCAACTCACATGTAACACGTGCCTCAATCAACACCATCCCCACCACAATCATTCACACATGTGTGTGTGTGTGTGTGTGCAGGGAGTGGAGCACGGATTCGATGATCCGCTACATCAAAGTCATTGGCGGCCCCGACGGCCGCGAGGGACTGCTCGGTGAGCTGACCGCAGTAGAGTGGCGAGCAGCGGTGGTGGTCGTGGTGGTGGTCGCCGTGAACAGGAGGGGGGGGATGGTGCCTTGCGGTTTAACGGTATGTGACGTTTCAGCATGGCACCATTAACTGATGTGCGCATTTACTTAATTCCTTGTGTTGCGTGGTCTTGTGCTCACGTCACCTACGCTCATCTGTCCGTCTGTCTTCTGTCCATCCATCTTTCCCTTGATATCCGACGCGGTCCGCAGTTGGTCAGAAGAACGGAACGATTCTGCAGATCTTTGTTGACAACCCGTTCCCGATTGAGCTGATCAAGCAGGCCACCCCTGTCCGCTGCCTCGACCTCAGCTCCCAGTACGTGCACACGTGACTGTCTTCGTGGTGGTGGTGGTGGTGGTGATGATGATGAGGGGTGGCGGTAGTGGTGGGGTGGCTGTGGTGATGGCAACGGTGATGATGGTGATTGGCATGGCTGGCTTATCAACACACACACGCACACACACACACACACACACACGCGCACACACACACACACACACACACACACACACACACACGCACACACGCACAAACGCATTTGCGTGGTGCAGGCGCACGAAGCTTGCGGTGGTGAACGACCACGGGACGTGCCTCGTGTACGACTTGGCAACCAAGGACCTGCTGTACCAGGAGCCGCACGCCAACTCTGTCGCCTGGAACACCCAGAACGAGGTGCCCTGCGTGTGTGTGTGTGTGTGTGTGTGTGTGTGTGTGTGTGTGTGTGTGTGTGTGTGTGTGTGCGTGTTTGTGTGCATGTGTGTGCGTACGTGCGTGTTTGTGTGCATGTTTTGTGCAGATTTATTTTTTCCCGTGCAGGGACCTACCACCGTTCACTGCTCCCCATCACGGTCCACTCCCACCACTGTCACCAATCACCAGGACATGCTGTGCTACAGCGGCAACGGCATGCTGCACATCAAAGCGGCCAACTTCCCGCTCCACGTGCAGAAGCTGCAGGGGTTTGTCGTCGGCTTCTCCGGCTCCCGCATCTACTGCCTCCACGTCCATTCCATGAAGCCCGTTGACGTACGCTGCCGGTGCTTGCGCTCATGTGACTTCAGTGCCTCTGATCCCCCTCCCCTCGGTCCCTGTTCCTCTCCTCTTTCTCTTTCTGCGGCAAAGGACGCTGGCACTGAGTGGGCTCGACTGTACCCAATGCACTTGTTGCTTGCCATCCCACACTGTTGCCACACAACCTGTCCTCACGCACGCAAACACACATGTGCTGGGCGATTGCAATTGCCATCAGGTTCCGCAATCGCACTCGATGCACCAGTACCTGAAGAAGGGCGAGTATGACGGTGCATACCGCGTGGCCTTGACTCGCTCGGTGCGTTGTTGCTCGTGACGGCGGCACATGGTGATGGTGTGTGTGTGTGTGTGTGTGTGTGTGTGTGTGTGTGTGTGTGTGTGTGTGTGTGTGTGTGTGTGTGTGTGTGTGTGTGGTGGTTTGGTTGCCTTTGCGTGCTTGCGTGCATCCAGCGTGTAATTCCAGCATCTCATTATCATCTCCACCACATCACCACCATGACCACCACCACCACCTGCCAGCGATGGAGGCACTTGAGGGCCTCAACTTTGAGGTTGCCAAGCAGTCATTCATCCGCGTCCGGGACATCCGCTACCTCGACCTGATCCACCGCATCCAGGAGCGGGAGCGCATGGGCATGGGTGACGACCCGGACGTGTACCGTGCGCAGATCTACGCGTACCAGGGACGCTTTGAGGAGGCCGCCAAGCTGTATGCCCGCGCAGGGCAGCCTCGCCTCGCCATGGAGATGTACTGCGACCTCCGCCAGTTTGACCGCGCGAAGGTGCGTGACCCTTGTGTTTGTGGTGGTGGCGGGGGGCGGTGCATGAGAAAGGCAGTGGCAAGGGAGTGACTTGTTGTCCGTGTCATTTGCCGTGCTGTGCCTCTGCTCTGGTACCCTGCTTGATCGTGCGCTTTTTGATTGGAATCGCGTGGCACTACTTCAATACCATGACACCCACCTCACGACCACCACGGCCAATATGCGCCTGGTGCTTTGTTATTGTTGTTGTTGTTGTTGTCGTTGCAGAAATACGTTGACTCGTCCAACGCAGAGGATGTGCAGGCGTTCATGAAGAAGCAGGCCGAGTGGTCCAAGACGGCGAACGACCCGCTGGTATGGGGACGCACATGCGTCGTGCATTGTTGTTGTGATGGTCATGCACCATTGTTGTTGCATGTGCTCTTTGTTTACTCAAGCCCATGTCCAGCGATTGTCTCGTGTGGGTGGTGTTGGTTGTGCGGTTAGCGCTGCTGTTGTTTTGCTCCATTGTGCACTCATGCATGCACACGCTCGCGCGCGCGACACAAACCACGATGACAATTGCTACGAATAGCTTGCGATTGACATTCTGAACGCTGCTGGCGAGGAGATTGCGTCTATCAACATGATGGGCGAGAATGGCATGGTGCAGAAGCTCATCGACAAGGCCCGCGCCACCAACAGCGTACGGGCGCGCACACGAACGCAGACGCAAACTGTGCTTCTTTTAGCTCGCGTGCACCCTTGTCATTGCCATGTGTGCACCCGACCATTGCTTTACCCTTTCATCCACCCACACAATTCCCCATCACCCATCATCCATCGTCCATCATCCACTCAACTGCTCACCCCTTTCATCCACGCATGCACGCCACTGCAGGCCGAGACGGAGGTCCTGAACCGCATTGTGTACTGGCTGCAGAAGCTCGACCAGATTTCCCTCGCCGCGGAAGTCTGCGAAAAGGTAATCCTGCGCTTTTGTCTCATCCCCAAGAGAGCACTCACAGTGCTCTGTGTGCGTGTGTGTGTGTGTGTGTGTGTGTGTGTGTGTGTGTGTGTGTGTGTGTGTGTGTGTGTGCTGCGCCAGCGTATGTGTGTGCGTGTGTGAATGCGCCAGCGACACTGCTCACGCCGTGGTTTGTTCGCTGCCACCCTGCCAGATGAACGACAACCGCAAGCTTGTTGAGCTGTATGTCTCTGCCAAGCGGTGGGAGGATGCATTTGCGCTGGCGAACCGCTTGAACGAGTTCCAGGAGGACATCTACCACCCATACGCGGACTGGCTCGCTGAGAACGACAGATTCGACGAGGCACAGGTCAGATGCAGGGTCGTACGGAACTGTACTGCGTACTGTGTGGATTTCATTCTGTGAATTGTGTACCGTGTGAAGTGCGTGTTGAGTGTGTGTGTGTTTCGATTGTTGCGTTCTGTGCTGTGTTGTCTTGTTGCCAACGTTGTCGGTGTTGATCACCTGGACCTCTGAATGACCACCAAGGCCCCTCTGTTGTTCACACCCCTTCATGTGCATGCACGCGTGTGCAGGAGGCATATCGGCTGGCAGGTCTCGAGGATAAGGCCGTGCAGGTGCTGGAGGTCCTCGCACACAACGCCGTCATTGAGCGCCGATTCAACGACGCAGGGTGCGTTGTGTTTGTGTTTGTGTTTGTGTTTGTGCTTGCGTTTGTGCTTGCGTTTGTGTTGGCGGTTTATTTTTGTGTTTATTATGTTCTGCGTGTTACACACGGTGCACGCAGCTTTTGATAAGCCGCAGTTGATTGTGGCAACACTGCTCGCGCGTGCATGCACGCATATCCCTGAGTTCACCTCACTATCACCCCACCATCACCTCACCATCACCTCACCAACCCCACCCTATGAATGCTCTGCGCGCCCAGCTTCTACTTCTGGAAGCTGGCGGACTACAAGCTCAAGGCGATCAAGAGTGCTGCTGGCGACGAGGGCTTCGATCTCGCAAATCAGGACGAGGAAATCAAGACTTACGAGACATTCGAGGTGCGTGGTGGCGACGGTGGTGTGTGTGCGTGTGTGTTCGTTTATTTACACGTGAATGCATGTGCGCATGGTGCATGATGTGCTTCTGCTTGTGTGCATGTGTACGTGCGTATCACATGTTGCTGACGAACTCACGCCTGCTTACTCCTTGTGCTCGCTAATTCCTGCCTCCTGTGCCACCATTCTCCTTCGTGTGCCGTCCCTGCCTACCTCTCCAGCACCGTGCTGATCTGTACCAAGCGTACCATGCCATCAGCCGCTACATCGAAGAGCCATTCACATCTCACTCAACAGACAACCTCCTCTCCATCTGCAACTTCCTCCTCAACGCCATCTCCTCGGTGTGTATACGTGTGTGTGTGTGTTGTGTATTGTGCATGATGTGTGTGTGTGTACGTATATTTATGTAGAGTGTGAAGAGGGTGTATTGCGTGTGTGTGTTGTGTATTGTGCATGATGTGTGTGTGTACGTATATTTATGTAGAGTAGAGTATGAAGAGCGTGTATTGTATTTCCATTCCTTCCCACTTCCACTCACAACTTTCAATCGGTACCAACGCCTACATCAACTACAGGAGGTTCCGTTTGGCATGTCCAAGTTCAATGTTCTGTTTGCGACTGCCAAGCTTGGTCGCCAGCTAGGCGCCTTCAAGCTCGCCCGCAACGCCATCGAGAAGATGCGCACACTCAGGGTGAGGAGGGGATGTGTGGTGTGGTGCCAAGCCTTGCAGTGTGACTTGCCATTGCGTGCACGCACACGCGCGCTTTGTGTTTGCATGCACCTCATTCTGTGATTGTTGCGTCGTGTTTGATGTTCGACGAGCCTTCACCGTCACGTGCACAATTGCGACTGTCTGCACGCACAAATGTTCAAACCAAATGTTCAAACCAAATGTTGTGAACACACACATACACGCACGCACGCACGCACGCACACACACACACACACACACACTCTCTCTCTCTCTCCCTCTCACATGCCCACAGGTGCCTGCCACGTTCCGCGAGCACGTGAATGTGCAAGCGGTTGCCATCCGGTGCAAACCGTTTGAGGACGGAGAGGATCTGCAGCCCGTGTGCTACCGCTGCTCACTCCCCAACAACCTCTGGGCTGGCTCCCTCTCCTGCTCAAACTGCGTCCACCCCTTTGTCTTGTCAAAGTCAGTGCTCACAGCTTGCTGTGCATGCTGATGGCTGTTGTTGCGAGTCATGCCATCTGCTTGCGTGCTTTGTTTGGATGTGCGAGTACACGTGCGTGTGTGTGCATGTTCCACTTTGTATTGCATGCGCGCGTGTGCTTGTCCTCGAATTCCGTGTGGCTGTTCCCCCTCACTGCACCCTGTGTTCTGACGATGGGATATGCGCGCACCTCCATCCCTCCCTGCTGCATCTCATTCTCTCTGCAGGTACTCCTTTGACGTGCTGCCCCTTGTGGAGTTCTCACCAGACGTCGACATCTCCGACGCAGAGGCGCTTCAGCTCATCCAGTGCGTGCTCGTGTGACTGCAGCTGTTATTGACTGCGCATCTGTGCACCTTGCCAGTGTTCATGCCGTTTGTCTCCACACGTCGTCGTCTCTGACATGTCACCTCAACATCCACCTCATTGCCTCGGCTCTTCCCGCCCACCACTCCCCACGTTCCGTTGTGGCAGGGACGATTCGACGCTCGGATCAAAGCGTGGGAGCGGCAGCACCGTCACCAGCGGCGGTGCGCAGGTGATGTCGATGGACGACGATGAAGACGAGGAGGAGGACCCGTTTGTCCAGTCGCTCGCCCGATTTGAGAGCGGCTCGTCGTCCTACGAGATTGTTCGTGTCGACCGCGAAATGCTCAAGAAGATGCCGTCAAACGAGGTGCGTGCGTTTGTGTGTGTGTGTGTGTGTGTGTGTGTGTGTGTGTGTGTGTGTGTGTGTGTGTGTGTGTGTGTGTGTGTGTGTCTTTGCCTGCGTGCATGCGGTATTGACACACGACGACATTCATTCACTCGTGCACGGCAAACATGCACACACACGCTTCAACCACATCCACGGACGCTCACGCATCTTAACCGCCTCCATTTGCCGCCTTGTTTTCGCGGGCGTGCATGTGTCCGTTACAGGTGTTTGTGCAGCGTTGGGGTGCACCACTGCAGCACCGCTATTACCGCAACGTGCTTGCCGACATCGAAGTCACCATGTGCTCGTCCTGCTTCAACGTGAGCCACGCACTCCACCGTCACCTCGCCGTACTGTTCAGCCGGGGCTCTATTGTTTGATCAGCAACATGTTCTCACACACAGCACTGTCCAGCACTTTGATGCCCGTCTTCCATCTCCCTCTTACCCAATGCTGCGCCCCAACCCATGTTCGTGTTTGTGTTGCCACATCGCCTTTGCTTTTTTCGTTGCAGTTCTTTGGCACCGACGAGTGGGAGCGTGTCACCCTCGAGTCCGGAAAATGCCCTCTTTGCCGAGCCAGCACGGTGCGTAAGCGATGTCGCTTGCTTGCTCGCTTGGGTTTGTTACCGTGTGTCGAAAATGACGTTGTCGGGAAGTCGAGTGCTTTGCGTATCCTTGGCCAAGTGGGTGCTGAGTCAGGCTGTTGAGATGTTGTTTGCGGCGCCGTTGTGAATCTATTTGATGTGATGTTGTTTCGAACGACTGACCAAAAACGCACGTTTGTCCCTGATCGTTGTTTCTTGCATGCCATTCAGGATGTTGATGAGGAATCTGAAGCACCTGCTGCCGCGGCGAGCGGATCAAAGGTCCTCCTCGGATCCCAACCAGCTTCATCGTCCGCGTAATCGCGCCCACCACACAAGCCACACTGTTTGTTTTGTTTTTGTGTGTTTCTGTTTTCGACATGCATGCCATTGCGTTGTTGGCCCTTTGTGTTTGTTTGTCGGTCATGTTTTTGCACTGGCCGAGAGCAGTGTGCACTTCCCTCTCGAGTGTGCTTGCGATTGTGTGCTTGCGTTTGTGCTTGCGTTTGCTGTTGCTTTCGCTTTTGCTTCCATAGCACCACACACCGGCCAATCAGCCAATGAAACATTCACCAAGACGACTCGGGTGTGATGGGGAAGGGCTACGACAGGTTACGGGCCACCTATCATTGTTTCAATCATAAGCCACACGCACAAGAGAGCCCATACAAGAAACACACACACACACACACACACACACACACACACACACACACACACACACACACACACACACACACACACACACACACACACACACAAAACACTTCACTTGTTGCGGGTGATGGTGCGCTGCTTCTCAGCAAACTCCACAATCTTCCGCTCCACATACAGCCCCTTGCGTTTGCGTGTGTCGTCCATGTACTTGCGCGCGAGGTTGGGTGCGTCGCCCTGTCATGCACATCAATGGTGAACACCATGAATATGAAGCAAGGGCACGAACAGCGGTTGCGGATTGTCGCGAGAAAGCACACGTGTAAACCACACAGATTGTTGAGAACACCTGCGTGTGTGGCGGCACTGGCAAAGTCATGTCACACAATGCGATGGCTGTCAGTCCTGTCTTACCTTCTCGCCAAAGTGTGCCTTTTCCTCTTCAGTCGTTGGCACCCAGAATGGGTCCTCGTCAATGACTTCCCAATGGCTGAACACAAGTTGTGGCACAGCAAGCCCACTGCACACAAGAACGACGCACACACACACACACACACACACACACACACACACACACACACACACACACACACACACACACACATTGATGAGGACAACGTGAGCGAGGGACAAGAAGGCGACAACAAAATGCACGCACACACACATACACTGACACGCAAAGTCACCTTGTGCGTTTGCGAAGCTCTTCTGCAAAACCAAAGCTGTGTGTCACAGGCAGTTTGGCCTTGATCTAATCATCACCAGCAATTGCGGCCGCCGAAAACGTCAGTGGTGATGGTATAATGGTGGTCGTAGACACGGTGAAGGCGAGAGGAAACAGGAGTCAAATGCAGACACACGCACACACGAACACACGCACACACGCACAAGCACACATGCACACCTGAAAGCTGTCGCTGCCTTCACGCATTTCCTCGGAAATGACTTTGCCGTTGCGCTTGTTGATCACGCCGTAGACCTGCGAGTATGTGCGGGGCAGAGCACGCCAAAGCAACGTCAGCAAGGTGAAGAAGACTCAAAGCAAGTAATCTGGGCACAGCAAAAAATAAATAAAACCCTTCGCTCGCTCGCACACACACATACAAACATACACATACATACACACGTAGCGTGGTCACCTTGCCGAGACTGCCGCTGTTGACGAGGAGATCACACGAGTACACGGCCGTCATCAAGCGGACGTCACGCACAAGGAACGCCTGCCCAGTGTATGGTGTGTAGGGGGCAGCGGTGATAAGGAATGAACGAGGTGCACAGCATGGAATGATCAAGGTGGACAACACAGGGATGGCAAACGACTCGCGCATGCACACACACACATACACACACACACACACACAACCACTCTGACGAAGCCAGCTCACCTGTCTGCATGCGTCCTGCATGGCGGAAATGACCTGACCAGAGAATTGGCGACTGGAATACGGCACAGACTCGTCCACTTGAATGTCGACGACCTGATGCAATGTGCGATGGTAACCGTCAATTGTCGCGGAAACGAAAACGGAGGCAGCAGACACAGACACAGACACACAAGACGCACACAAGACAACACAACACAGACACGCACACACACACACACAAGAATCTTCACCAACTGACGTCGAAGCAGACGCCCATCATGGGTTCTTCGCAGAGCGGACCCGTCTGGGTGACGAGCTGGAAGCTGACAATCAGAGGATTGAGGTGCGACAACAGCTCCTTCGCCCACGTGCTCACGTTCTGCCCAACCTTCGACCCAAACACATTCGGGTACGGCAGGCTGTGCATACACACGCGCGCGCGCGCGCGTGTGTGTGTGTGTGTGTGTGGTGAAGATGTCATTTGTGAGCAGACACACATGAAGTTGAGACAGGTCAACCGCGTGCGTACGAACATAACGTGAATCGAGCAGTTCAAGAACAGACATCCACGTGTCAGCGCCACCGACCACAGACACACACACACAGACACAGAACCACTGCATGTTGCAGGTAAGCAACCATTCGCGCTCATACCCTGGGCTGGTGGTGAGGATGTTGGTGCCGCTGTGGCGAGGACCAAACGAGGCAATGGTGTCCTGAACACCGGCCCACTCGCGTCCTTCCGCCTCAAACGCGGCCTTGAGCTGCTCATACAACTCCTCAGCCGTCATCGTGCTGTGGTCAACAAGCTCGTCACTAACGTCAATGCTATCGTCCTTCACATCCGGGGATTCTTTGCCCGATGTCTCTCCAGCACTTGCGATCTCACCACTCTTTGCTCCACCGTCCGCTTGCTCGCCATCACCACCATCACCTTCACCATCGCCGTCGTCGTCATCAACAACATGGTGAGCGGTTGCGTGTTCGTGTTCTGCATCGCTCTGTTCCCCTGGTGCCGCTGTCTCTTCTTCGTCTCCGCCGCCCTGTTTCTTCGTCTCCCGCACCCATCGCGACAGTTCGCGTGCGCGGTCGCTCATCGCTGTTTGTCAATGAGTGTGTGAGCATGTGTGAATGCGTGTGTTGAGTGAGTGCATGCAAATGCGTGCGTGGTATGGGTTGCCTTGGATACAAGCGCATGCGGTGATGACCCACGCACAACTCCTGTTACAAGCAGTGCCAGTGCCGCCAGCCATCACACAACCAACACTGCCATGTGCGCTTGTACCGAGGGAGAGCTCGCGGAGGAGGCCAGGGTGGTCCTGAAGAATTGCCGTCACAGATGCCGGCAGCGGACGCGTGCGAACCTGGCAGAGACGACCACAACGACAACCACACAACACGGCACGATTGGCGTGAGGGTACGTGTGAGACGCGAGCACATACACTAAGAAGTACCAGTATGCATGTGTGTTTGTTTGGAGGGGGGAACAATGCATTCAAGTTGAAGGCGGAGCGAGATGACGGCAAACATGCAGCCAGCGTATTGTCGCGCTGCTCGCACCTTGATTGTCCAACGCTTGGTTGTTGTCTTGACGGACACAATGATGCCATCGTCGTCGACGTCCACATCGTCAGCTGACAAAACAAAATGCAAACAGGTGCGGCAGAATGGCGTGCATCAGGTCTCCTCTACAATGCAAATTAAGCTTGAGGTGTGTCATGCATGGGCGTACACAACAGACACGCATGCAAACGCGTCTCCACACATTCAAGCAATCGAAAACGCGCTCAATCACACACACACACGCACGCAACGCATAACCCAGCATGAGGGCACGCACGGAGGAGGTAGCATCGGCGCTCGCCGCGTGCGTTCTCTGCACCAATGGCCTCATTCGTGACGTCGGTGGTGGGTGGCGGGACAATCGTCTCCCGGAACGGAACAATTGGAGGAGAGACCTTGATGCTGATGCCTGATGTGGAGCACGTGCACGGAAGTTGTGCATGAGAAGGGGGAGGAGGGGAGAGCATGGATTGGTGGCGTTTACAATGAGGGAAGAGGGGAAAGAAAAATGGTGTGGCGGTGAGAATAGGGATTGCATGAGCAAGATACACGTATTATGGTTTGATCAGCATGCTGGGTGGGTGATGGAAATACACGTGGCGCGATTGTGCGATTGCGTGTCGAGGCAATGCAGCATGACAACAGCAGTAGGTGTGTGTGTGTGTGTGTTTGTGTGTGTGTGTGTGTGTGTGTTTGTGTGTGTGTGTGTGTGTGTGTGTGTGTGTGTGTGTGTGTGTGTGTGTGACCTGGGCAGAATGTTTCGCGGAGGTCAGTCAGGCAGCGTTCAATGTGCACCTCCCCTGCAGCGACAAGCACAAGCTCGCCCGTCTCTTGAACAAACACTTCCACGCATGGATCAGCCTAACATGACACAAGCACACACATACACAGGAGCAGTTGAACGAGTCAGTGAGTGAGTGACAGCTGCATACAAGTTCAACTGACGACAGCGAACCAAACGCAATGAAACACAAACAATGCAGCACAGACAAACACGAACAGAAGCACAAGCACACAACCTCAACCACAACCCACAGACCACAGAGTACAAGCAAGGAACCAAGTGAGCGAGCAAGCAAGCAGGCAAGCAAGTACGTGCGTGCAAACCTTGTTGAGCATTTGCATGCCGCGGTGCAGGGCCGGCATGTCCGAGATGCGTTCCGTTTCCAAAGCCACGCGCACAATTGGTTTCGTGTGCTCATACAGGCCTCGCAGTCGCGGGCAGGCGGGCGTGGTGGCGAGGGTGGCTGTCTTCAGCACGTGTCCTTCCAAACCAGCGATGCCCACCACCGTGCCTTTGTTGTGTTCGGTGTGACAGTCACATCAACACGAGTGCGCAAACACGAGTGTGAGTGTGGTGGGGGGAGCGGGAAACGCACGCAAATGTGGGCATGCACACACACACACACACACACACACACACACACACACACACACACACACACACACACACACACACACACACACACACACACACACACCTGCTGGTGCCTCGTTGAGGGCGAGAAGGGATCTGCCCATGAGGAGATAAATGCTGCCGACCACAACTTCCGTGCGGTGCTGGTCAGGGCGGCGTGGGTCGTAGCGTGGACCGAGCACATGTATCTGGTGATGACGACAAGTAGGGGTTCGGTTATTGGTGTCAACTATGAACACACCCACAGTGATTGTTATCATTGCTGAGCACATACAGGCACACAGACACACGAGCACAGGCACACAGACACAGACAGGCACACAAACAAACGCCACGACGACGTTACCTTCTGGCCTGGGCGAATGGTGCCTGCAAATACGCGCGTGTATGCGAGGAACATCCATTTCGACGACTCTTCTCCCTCCTCCTCTTGTCCACCGCCACTTTGTCCAGCATCACCACGCGCCGTGGCGTCCTCGGAGACCTGCTGCACCAGCCGCATGCTCTCTTCCTCGCCCTGGGCACCGCTGTCGCCAACGAGTGCAGCAACACGCTGCCGCCTGGCCAGCACCTCGGCGCGGCGGCGACGCAGCTCCTCTGCAGATGCACGCGGCGCCTGGTTCTCGGGCAGCATCGCCCGCTCAAAGGCAACCATCTTGGACACAAACGCAACACACGGCTCTGTCTGTGCTGATGTGTCGCCACTATTGTCACCATCCCCATCGCCAGCGTCGTGTTGCGGTAACGGTGCGCACTTCAGCATTGCGTCCAGAATGGGCTGCACCTCCTGTCATGATGAATGCAAGCAGAGTAATGGCAATGAACGACATTTTGTGTGTGTGTGTGGGGGCGGGGGTGTGTTGGTATCGTGATGAGGCGACGAGCAAAAGCATGCAGAGTCGTCACGTCAGCAGGGCAGCGTTCAAGCATTGAGTGCCATCAAAGCCCCTCCACTTCCACGTCCACTCTCAGTCCTCCTGACATACACATACACATACACATACACATACACATACACATACACATACACATACACATACACATACACATACACATACACATACACATATGTGTGCTCAACACGCGCGCTCAACATTTCCCGACAGTACCTTCGGCACGTCCTTGGCTGCGGCCTTGCTTGCAAACAGGAGCGATTTGACGCGTTCCTCGGTCATATCCGTTGGTGCCGGCAGTTTCTTGGCCACAACGTTGAGCACACACGCAGACAGAGGCAGCCATCGCGACATGATGCTCTGCAGCAGCACCTGTGCAACGGACACACGTGAGCAAGTGTGTGTGTGTGTGTGCGCGCGCGCGTGTGCGTGTGTGAGAGAGCGTGTGCGTGTGTGAGAGAGCGTAGGCGAATGGGTGCCGTGTGTGGATGCCTGAAGCAGCCCTGAAGCAGCTCAAACATGAGCACTGCGCGTGCATCGTCGAACCTTGGGATCAGATTGCCAATCGCGAGCAGAGACTTTGATGTTGAGCGCTGCCGTCATCTTCTTCATCTTCTCACGGTTCATTTCCTCAACAACCACCTGTGGAACACACGCGCACACGCAATCGTGAGTTGCAGCACCAACAGGCAAGGGGTGTGAACCTGTGATGACCACCTGCATGCACCACAAATGCCCACAAACACCCACAACACACAACACACACACAAACGCCCACCACTGATGCAGCAGGCATGATGTTCAAACCTCACCTGGTACATGCTCCAGACGGGCTCCAGCACAAACTTGACAAACAGAGGCGCCTTTCCCTTGCCGTACGCGCCCTTGCGAACCTTCATACCCGTTTTCTCCTCTGTGCATATGTGCGTGTGTGCGTGTGTGCGTGTGTGCGTGTGTGCGTGTGTGCGTGTGTGCGTGTGTGCGTGCGTGCGTTTGTGTGTGCACACGTGTGCGTGAGAGTTTGCATGAAGAAGACAAAGAAACAAATGCATGACGGCAACCACAGACTGGTACGCATACAACACATGTACGAGCGCACACACAAGAGAAGAAACCGCGCATGGTCGCCACATGCTTACTTGCGACGTAGTAATCGCCCCAGAGACAGCGCTGCAGAGCGCCGACACCACAGCCGAGGCGGGCGGCAACAATCGCAGCAAAGTCGTGCACGGTGAACCCCCACCCGTCAATGGCACTGTAGGGCAGGGAAATGCGGTGTTGTGTGGTCCGTGTGTGTGTATGTATGTAGGTATGTGTGTGTGTATGTATGTACGTGTGTGTGTGTGGTGTTTGTGTGCGTGTGTGTGTGTGTGTGAGTGAGTGAGTGTGTGTGCGTGGTGTTTGAGTGTGAGTGACTGACGAAGCAGCACAGTTTGGCTTGGGCGTGAATTGTTTGTCGGCCTCTGAAAAGACGCCAGTAAACCCACACACGCGCAAGTGACGCACCTTGCGAAAATGACGTTACCGCGCTCGGGTTCAAAGTAGAGGCCAGAGTCATCCTGGGCACGCGTGCAGACGAGGGAGGAGAGGGGATGTCAGCACGCAATCAGGTGGAAGTTGAAGGTACAGCGACGGTTTCCAGCTACACACATACAAACACACATACACACGCACACACGCATACGCACGCACACGCACATGCATGCACACAAACACAAAAGCAATAGCATACACACAACATGAGAGAAGACCGTCACCTGGTCAACGATTTCGTCTTCGATCATGTCATCTGGCTGCTCGTCCAAGCGCTCAATGACAGATGTCGTGAACAGCGTCGCCGTCACCGCATTCACCTGCAGTCGCACACACACACACACACACACACACACACACACACACACACACACACACACACACACACACACACACACACACACACACACACACACACACACACACACACACGTGTGAAATGGGATGGAGTGAGAGGATGCACGAGCAATTGTGTAAGTGCAGGTTCATGTGTGGGCGTGTGCGAGCATAGTATTGCGACTACACTGGACTAACTTGTTCGAGGACACGCAACAGCTGTTCATAGGCTTCCGCAGGCGTCATCTTCAGCTCAAGAATCAATCTACAAGAGCACGAGTGTGTGCATGGTTGAGACATGAGCTTGGTTGCGCGTATCAGCGCGTCTTGTCGCAATAACCAGAAGGCATGAAGACGGACAGATGCAGGCATGCAAGCGCGAACGGGAGCACTGACCTGTCAATCTTGTTGATGACCAGCACTGGCGTGATGTTCTCGGCCCACGCCTGACGCAACACCGCGTGGGTCTGCAAATGTTGGGAAAAGGGGATGGGGGCGTGAGAGGGTCAAGCACACAAGCACGAAGTGGAATTGACACACACACACACACACTCAACATGAGAACACACATGCACACACTCGTGCACACACACATACACACACTCATGCACATACACACACTCATGCACATACACGCACACACACGCACACGCACACACACCTGTGCAGACACGCCTTCAACGACGTCGACCAGGATGACGGCGCCGTCAGAGAGGCGAACGGCAGTTGAGACCTCAGATGAGAAGTCCACGTGGCCTGGCGAGTCAATGACATTGATCACATACGGCTCGCCATCTGCACACGCGTTTGTTTCGCGCACACATGTGTGTGAGTGAGTGTGAAGGCGCTTGCAAGTTCGCAAGCAAGGCGCTCCGTGAGACGTGCTGTGCAAACGAAGCCGAGACACGATCGAACGCGCAAGAAACCAGCACATCACAACATGCTGCAACAAGCACACCGGTCATGGGTACTACAAACCTGCTTTGTGCAAGAGTGTGACAGCACTGGACTTCATGGTGATGCCTCGGGTCTGCTCGTCTTCGCGGCTGTCCAGATACCGCAGCTGTCAAACAACGAAAGTGAAGCATCAAAGGGACGCACACGACGGTGCAGTGAGCTGGTACTTGTCAAGGCGGAAGGAGAAGAGAGGGCAACGACCGCCACAGCCTGGTACACCGTACACGTGCGCTGTCACGCATCTATCCGCTGTTGGGCGCTCGGCTGTTTGAACCCGCTGCAAGCGCTGGATCTCACCTTGCCAGACATGCGGGTGGAGATGATGCCGTTGCTGGCCAACAGGCTGTCTGCCAGCGTTGTCTTGCCTGCACAGCAAGGGGAACGAGGCGGACGACAAAGACAAGCATCGCAGCGACGTGAGCAAAAGATGACGAGGAAAGGACACAGGCTCGGGGCATACTCGGCCCCAGCAGTAGCAGGTGTAGCTGTGGTTGTAGCTGTAGCTGTAGCTGTTGCTGTTGCTGTTGCTGTAGCTGTAGCTGTTGCTGTTGCTGTAGGAGTTGCACAAATAGTCGTAACAAGCAAGCAGGTGACGGCCTGTGCGGTGCTCGACCCACCATGGTCCACATGAGCGAGGATGCCTGCAGTGCAGTGGGATAGGAAGACAAGGCAGGAGTGAAGAAGGAGAAGTCACAATGAGCTGGGCAGAGAAGCAGGACGACTGCCACACACACACACGCGCGCGCGTGGGTGGGGGAGGGAGGCTGATGCACACGTGCACAAGCAAGCAGAGACAGGCACACACACACACATGCACATACATACACATGTTGCGGATGTGCGACGTGTTGCTGTGCAGCTTCGCCAGCATTTCAGGGGTGAACGACGACGCCATGGTGTGATGTCTCCCACAAGCTCTGGGTGCTGGCCCTTTGAGGAGTTCGACTGTCTATTGAGCTGACGTGCGTCTGCCTCTTCCGCTGCTATGCACTATGATTGCTTCAGCGTTCGTTCGTAGTGATGACTACCCACGTGTCTCGTAACTGAATGGCCTGATGGCTTTGCGCGGTTTTATTGGTTGAGGGAAGCAAACGCTTTTCAAGTCGATTCAGGCACAGCACACGCTTGTCTCTCTCGTCTCTCTCTCTCTCTCGTCTCTCTTGTGTGTGTCTCTCTCGCTCGCACACTCTGCACTGGTTTGGTAATGAAGGAGGCGAGCAAACTTTCTCACTCGATCCCACGAAGAATAACAAGTTTCACAGTCTGTGAAGGGCGCAGCCAGGAGACATGGCAACACACGTGAGAAGCAGTGACGGGCTGTAGAAAAAGCTCGCACAACGCAGATGCATACACAGAGCGCGCGCACACACACACACACACACACACACACACACACACACACACACACAATCGCAGCACAAACAATCACGCACAAACACAATGCACACAACTCACCGAGCCTTCCGGCAGCTGCTTAAAGAACGAAATCATATCTGGCTTTGGCTTCCCGCGTGCGCTATCGCCGTTGACGAGGATAAACCGGTCCCCAACATGCAGCCCAGCCAGGTGCGCCACCCCATTCTCCCGCAAACTCTTTACCCGGATGTTGTACTGCGTGCCCTCCCTTGGCGCGTCCTCAATCACCATGCCCAGTCCTTCCCGGCCCTTGACGAGGCTGACTGTGTGCGTCGTCGTGTCCCCATTGCCCTGTCACATAAAGAACAGGCAGATGCGCGGGCAGGTTCGAGTGTGTATGTGAGTGCGTGTGTGTATGAGTGCGCGCGCGCGCGTGTGTGTGTGTGTGTGAGTGCGTGTGAGTGTGTGTGTGTGTGTATGAGTGCGTGTGAGTGCATGGGATGCTCGCTTGCGCTCACAACAAAGTGCATCACCACACAATGTCAAAAACATGCACACCACCACCACCCTGACGAGCTACGTGTATGTGCGCACGCACCAGCTGCCTGGAGGCACGACGCTGTCGGCGCGCATCTGCAAGAAGCGTTTCAATCTGAACAGTTGACACATTCCACCCATGGCAGCAGAAGCAGCAGTAGAAGTGAGTCAAGGTCACGCAAAGTCAACTGCCTGTGTGCGTGTGCGTGTGCGTGTGCGTGTGTGTGTGCATGTTTGGTCCCGCAAACTCACCATCAATGCCAAACCCACACTCAACAAACAGCGCTCATGGCCAAGAGACGTGCATGCAGGCACGCCTACCCTCTTCTCCGAGGCGCCGCGCGACTCCTGCGCAGGCGGAGCGGTCGTTGTCGATGCTGACGATGCTGACGTTGACGACGACGCTGATGGTGCTGGTGCTGCCGGTGCGACTGGCTTGGCCTGGGCCTGCACTGCTCCTTGCGATTGCCTGCTCTCGCGTCGCTTCCGCGCTTCAGCCAGCAGCCGGTCAACCTGTGGGTGCGTGGGTGAGTGTGAGAGTGAGGGTGTGCGTGTGTGTGTTCATGACATCGCGAGCGCACGCGTACATCTTGGTGTGTGAATGAGACAACAGATGACAATCACAGCAGGAAAATTAAGCCATGTGGGCGACAGAAGAAGGCAAGGTGTGTTTACATGTGCACGCGCAACATGTCACACCTTGGACAGGGATTCCGTGTGTGTGGATTGACCAATGGACGCGCGCGGTAATCTGGGGCTCAGGATGGGCTGGGATGTGCGCTGTCACATGCACGAACGACAAAGCATAGCAACAAGCACACGAGACCAGTGTGAGCAGCGCAAAACCAAACAGAAACGCACAATGTAAACAAACAAATGCATTCGCGCTCATCCGCACAATCATACAGTCACACAGGCACACATACAAATCGCACACACACGCAGACCTTCGGACGTTCTGGCGTGAGCTGCACTGGTTTGTCCAGGAAGGAAGCGTCATCCTCATTCTCATCCCCGTCGTTGTCGCCCTCACCTTCACCAGCGCCCGTCTCTTCTGCAATTGCGGGCGGAGACGAGGTTGGAACCTGCGGTGGCGGCGTTGAGGGCACCGTCATGCGACGTGCCCGCTCAGCATCCACCTCCTCATCATGATCATCTGCTGATGCTTGTGCCTCCGCTGCTGGCGCATCCTGTGCTGCAGTTGCAATGGTGGCAGGTGCTGTGGTTTCAGTCGCAGCAGCGCGCCGCTCTCTCCTCTCGCGAGCAGCAGCAAGTGCATCCGCCACACTCCGCTTCTCCGTGGACTCCTGTTCCTTCGTCCCCTCCTCGCGTGTGCTACGCTGCTGCTGCTGCTTTGAGTCGTCCTGGTCCGCCCCAGACAGGCGCCGCGCCTCTGCAATCGCCGCCGCCGTCTGCCTCGCTGCCTCGGCCCGTGCGTCCTGCTCCATCTTGCGGCGCTGCTGGTCCGCTCGCGCCTTGGCCTCCTCAATTTCCCGCTGCTTGCGTTCCTCCTCCTCTCTCGCTCGCCGCTGCTGCTCTGCCTCTTCCTCCGCCAGCCGCTGTGCTTCCCGCTCGGCAGCCAGCCTGGCCTCCTCCTCCCTCCTCCTGGCCTCCTCCTCCTGCTGCGCCCTCAGCCGCGCCTGGCGCTCTTCTTCCTCCCGACGCCGCTGCTCCGCCCGCCTGTCCTCCTCCTTACGCCGTTCCTCCTCAAGCGCCCGCCGCACGCGCTCGGCCTCCTCCCGCGCCTTCCTCTCCATCTCCTCTGCGCGCTTCCGTGCAGCCTCGCGTTCGGCTGCAGCCTTCTCCGCGGCAATTCGCTCCTCCTCCTCCCTCTGCTCCCGCTCCCGACGCTCCTGTTCAGCCTTAAGTCGCGCTTCTTCCTCCCGCTGCTGCATGGTGGCCTGGGCCGCAGCCACCGCCGCAGCCTCCAGCGCAGCCATCTTCGCCTCAACCGACGCCTGCACAGCGTCCGCGTCCACGCCGCCTGTTGCAGCCGCAGCAACGGTGTTCTGTGGTGCGGGGTTCCGTTGCCTAGCATCACCGCCACTGTCACTGGCGTGGCCATCGTGGTCGCTGCCGTCATCAAACACGCCGCTGCGTCGCCGCGCCTCGCGACGAGCATCTGCAACAATGGCTGCCGTCTCCTGCTGTGCGCCCTCGGCCCGAATCGCGTCCTGCAGCTCCCGCGTCGCATCAACAACATCGCGCGTGCTGTCATCGCCACCATGGTCTGCACCGCCAAAGTCAGGCTGCGAAACACGCTGCGTCGCTTCCGTCACGCGACTGCCGCTCATGAGGTATTTGGCAGCAGAGCTGGGCGTTCCGGCATGCGCACGCGAGCCACCACCGTACGCCGTGTGCTGGTCAGCGCCAACACTCCCATTATCGTCGCTATCTGGGGCGTGGTCGTCGTCGTGCTCATCGTCCACGCTTGAGAGCAGGGTGTTGGCGCGGCCAGTGTCAATACCACCAGGCAGCGGCCGCCACTCATCCTCCTCCTCCTCGTCAAGCACAATCGCCTCTTCTGCTTCTGTTTCCTCCTCCTCCTCCTCCTCCTTCTCTCCAGGCACGCCAAGTCCTTGCTCCTGCCCCTGCTGCCCCTGCTGCCCCTGCTGGTTGCGAATCTTGGCTGCGCGTTCTCTAGCCTCCTGCACGGCTTTAGCTGCAAGCTTCTTTCGCTCCGTCTGCGGCGAGCGCGCACCACCACCAGCGCCGTGAGTGGTTGCCGTGTGTGCAGCTGCACCCTTCTTGCCCTTGCCCTCGGCGGGCTTGCTGAAGTCGCCGCCAAGGGCACGCCTCACTTCCTCGCGCGCCTGTTCCTCGGCAACACGCCGCCGCGTGCCGCTGCCATCCTCGGCCCCGCCAGTGCCAGCAGCCGTGCGGTCCTGGGTGTGTGTGTGTGTGTGTGTGTGTGTGTGTGTGTGTGTGTGTGTGTGTGTGTGTGTGTGTGTGTGTGTGTGTGTGTGCAAGCGCAGTCGTGGCTGAGCGAGGGCAAGGAAGCAGAGCGCAAACCTGTCGTGTTCGGCGCTCCCGCAAGCTACGCTCCTTTGCCATTCGCTCCTCGAATCTGCACATGCACATGACAGCACAACTTTTTCGTGAGCAAGACGCGTCTGTTGATGCACCATGACTTTGTGGCCTTGTGACACGCGTACACACACACAGACATGCACATGCACACACGCACACAGACACAGACACACACATATGCACACACGCACAACCAGACACAGACACACGCATACATGCACCTGGAGCGGTTGACTTCGGTGATGCTGGACGAGGATGATCGGGTTGGGCTGGCACTGAAGAGGGGACCAACGGAAAGGTTTGGGCAGGAGGATATGAGAAGAAAGAAATTACGTACGGCAGCGATGGAATATTTCAGCAGGAGGAGCAGGAGCAGGATGTGGTGGTGGAGCAGTCCACACAAGACATGCACAAGGAGAGAAACATAGAGAGGGACGGAATGACAGAAAAGGAGTAAGAAGAACGTGCATCTGAGACACTTTTGCACACATATTCACCATTCGCCAAGAACGGACCTGGCAGCACGCTCCTGCTGTGCAGCTGTGCGGTCGACTTGAATGTGCTTTGCATCAAGCATGTCTGGCTCCATGGCAGGCTCATCAAGCTCAATCTCGCCACCAGGCACAGGCAGGTTGCGTTGCCGCGCCTGTGTTGATGGCGGCGGCGCCGATCGTGCCGCTGCCCGCTCCGCATCCCGCTCCCGCTGCTGCTGCTGCTGCTGCTGCTTGGCTGCGTGTGTTGCCGAAGTCATGGATGAGCCGGACGATGAACCCGACGGGTGCGACGGCAGCCGCCGACCGCCGCGAACCGTCGGCGCAGCAGCAGGTGCAGGCAAAGTGGAAGACGTGGTGGCCGTGGTTGGAGGACGGGCCGTCTTGCTGACGACAGCAGGCCCAGGTCTCCGCGCCGCCGCCGCTGCTGGAGGTGCTTGAGGTGCTGGTGCTGGTGCCAACGCAGATGATGCTGTACTGGTGGCCGGTGCAGGTGGCTGCTCGCGTCGCGCCTTGCGGAAGCTGGGACGGAAGCGTGCCAGCCCCCGCCGCGGCGATTTCTTCCTCTGCTGCTGCTGCTGTTGCTGTTGTTGCTGTTGTTGTTGTTGCTGTTGTTGTTGTTGTTGTTGTTGTTGCTGGTGGTTGACGGGCTGCTCCAGCGCCTCAGGGATACCGTGGGTTGGACCGACGTGGAAGTCATCCGGTGCAACAGCCAGCGGGTCCGTCCACCTGCAGGGGAGGCATGTGTGTGTGTGTGTGTGTGTGTGTGTGTGTGTGTGTGTGTGTGTGTGTGTGTGTGTGTGTGTGTGAAACGTGTGTGTGTGTGTGTGTGTGTGAAACGTGTATGAATACGAGGTTGCCGCTGCAGTCTGGGTGTTCGTGTTGTGTTGCATCACACATCTGCACATCAGCCAGTGAGCTGGTACACAACGATGTGAACGCACTCTGTTTTTGCCTTCACTTGATCGCGGCGACGCAGTCGTTCCCGGTACTTGGTGTAGTGGCTGACAGGGAAGAACTGACAAGTGTGCGTTTGTGTGTGTGTGTGTAATGTGGTGTGTGTGTGTGTGTGTGTAATGTGGTGTGTGTGTGTGTGTGTGTGTGTGTGTGCAAATTTGTGAGAAAATGGACGTGAGCATGCGTGATTGTCGATGCGGTCCTGCCTCGCCCAGAGTTTGGCACAAAGCACAACTGCACGCTCCTCACCCTGGGGTTGGTCAGGCGTTCAAACACGCTTGGTTTCTTGCGTGCAGATGTGGGCGTAGACGGTTCGCTTGGGCGGGACGGCTGCGGCTCAGCGGGTCGTTGCTGTTGCTGCTGTTGTCGCTGCTGCTGCTGCTGTTGTTGTTGTTGTTGTTGCGCTGGCGCTTGCCATGCCTGGTGTGCTCGCCTGTCACACAAACGGAGGAACAAATGTGACGAGGAGAAAGGCAATGGTAACTTGGTACACACACACACAATAGCACATACGTCCATATGCTCACACACACACAATAGCACGTACGTCCATATACTCACACACACACACACACGACTACGTTCGCACACACGATCCGCTTGCGCAGCGGGTTGCATTGCTCTTGTACCTTGGTTTGGGCTGCCTGGAGGAAGCTGCTGACGAAGCAACGCTGCTGCGGGCAGTGGATGCGCGGTCCTGTTCACCCTGCGAGCGACGACGAACCCTGCAATGGAGGAGACATGTGGGGTGGGACATGTAGATGAGTTGAGACAATGGCATGGAACATGTTGCTCGTGTTTGTGTGTTTGCTGTTGTTGGATTGCTTTGTCTTGTTTGCATGAAGGCAAGGCACCAAGTTCAGTTACCCACTCTCCCTAATTGTCCAATTGGCACACATCGCCACCACTTGCTCACCGGTAGCTCTTTGGGAAGAAGCGTGGCGTGCTTAACCGCTCAAACACGCTTGGCTTGTGCGCCTTTGGTGCTGCCGGCTCCCTGAACACAAAATCGTGAGGCGCATGCGTGAGAGGTGTGGTGGAAGACAAGACGGGCGAAAATATTGCCAGTCACGTCAACAAACACACACACACAGATACGTAAACGTCCACACACCAACAAGCGCATAGGCACAGACACGCATGTGCACGCCCTCGCGCGCATTTGTGCGCAGTCGCAAAGCAGTGAGCAAAGAGCAACAACTGACTGGTGGGCGGCGGGCGCGCCTGCATTCGATGAAACCTGTTGCTGCTGCTGGTGTTGTTGGCGGGAGCGGTGCGATGCCGTTGGTGTGCGGGTGGAGGTTCGTGGCGGCTGCTGCGGTGTGTGAGGATGGCGGTGTGGCGTGGAGCGCGTTGGTGTGCCCGTCACAAACGGCGGAGGCGCGCGGTGGCGTGACGGTGTACGCGGCGTGTGTGGGCCAGCACCGCCACCACGGCCGTGGCTGGTGATGCTGGACGCATGTGAGCGCGCGCGCGAAGGGGTGCGGCTGGCTCGGCTTGACGCGCGCGTGGACACTTCATAGTGAATGTCGGGAACGGGCGGGTGGAGACGCAGTCGCTCCGAGTTCTTCTCCAGCTCCGCCTTGCTGGTTGGCGGGCGCCAGTGGCCCTGGTGCTGGTGCTGCGTGTGTGTGTGTGTGTGTGTATGTGTGTGTGTGTGTGTGTGTGTGTGTGTGTGTGTGTGTGTGTGTGTGTGTGTGTGTGTGTGTGCGTGTGTGTTCATGTGGTGCAATGACGGGATACGTGCTTAGTGCTCAGTGCTCAGTGCTCAGTGCTCAGTGCTGAATCGGAAGCGGATACAGTACGAAGCATGCACCCTATCTCAAACAACACACACACGCACGTATACGTGCACACAACCCTTTTTTTCCCCTCCCGAGTGATGACGACTGCAACTCACGCGTCTCGGGGAGTCCCTGTGTTCCTTTGGACGAATGTACTTTGACATGTCCTCTGCCCATGGCCGCGGGTAGTTTCGTGCCGGCGCTGGTCGCCTGCTCTCGTTCCGCAGCGGCGTCTGGCGCGCCTGTGGACACGCGTGCACACGTGCAGAAATGACATCACACATATGGGAGATGCCAACACAAACACACGAGCGCACCAGCACGCCAAGATACATGTGCAATCATGTGAAAGGAAGGGGGGTGAGCGGCCAATATAGACAGGAATTCATGTTTGTGGTGTGTTCCAAGGCACGCAGTTGGTGTGTGTTAATGCATTGCATGGGTGTGAGCTTGCCAGCAGCCTGCCCACCTCGGCTTTGGTGGGCGTCATGTGCTGTTGACTGCCACGGCGCCTGCGCGGTGTGTGGCTGGCTTGACTCGGCTCATATCCCTGCCATGAATAAAGAGGGAAGACCAAGACCAAGAAGAAGAAGAAGAAGACCAAGACGAAGAAGAAGAAGAACACGAAGTGACATACAACAGAACGGCATTGCCCGACCAAAGGAAGCAGGAATCGTACACACACACACACACACGCACACACCACACACACACGCACACACACACACACGCACACGCACACGCACACACAGAAGAGGTGCGGGTGAGCAGTGATTGTTGTCGAAGTGGCAGAGGGGTGCGCTAAGCTGCGCGAGTTTGTGATGATGACGGTTTGTGATGGGTGGTCTTTGTGGTACGTACAGGGCTGCGTGAACCGGGATCCACCAAGCGCTTCTTCACGGGATCGCGCACAACAGGTGAGATGTAGCTGTGGTGTGTGGTTGCCAACCTAATACACCCAAAGCAACATGCGATCAGGGTGCGTGAGTACATATGACGAGGCGCAAGAGCGGATTGGACGGGGGAGGGCGGGGTGTTCTTGGTTGTTCAGAGGGGTGAGAGGAAGGGAGGCAAGGGAGGGGAGGATACAATGGACATGGAGGCAGAGATGGAGATAGAGATGGACATGGAAAGAGTGGGAAACGCAAGGAAGCCAACAACTGCAAGAATAGAAGGGGACGAAGAGTCACAGCAACGTGGGATGTGAAAGTAAGCGGAGAGAGACGCCTTGTCAGACAAACGCACAAAACACGACACAGAACATACCCGGCTGTGGGGATGGTTTGGACAAAGGACGTGCTGGGTTCCGCCCAAGACATGGTCGGTGTTACTGTTGCCTGGTGGGGAGGAGCAAGCAGTGTATCACGTGGGCGAGTGAGGGTTTGGTGAAGACATCCCACATCAAAACCCCCACTGGATTGACATGAAGCAAAAGGAACAACCAACCAGCTGTAGTGAACAAGCAAGCAAGCAAGCAAGCCATCCGCTGGCAAAACTCACGTACACGCACACACACGCATGCACACACACACACACCCGTGGCAACTGCCACACAAGTAGCAACCCGCAACCTGGAGCGCACCTCGTTCTTGTCCACTTGTCTGTGGTGTGGAGGCCTCTTCCTCTTCTTCCTCCTCTCCTTCGACTGTGTGCGTTTCCACCTCACTGGTCCGTTGTGTCTCGACACCCAACTCCCCAAACAAAACAAGGCAAAGCAACAAGCAAGCGACGTTGGTTGTCGGTTGCTGTTGTTGTACGATTTTATTTTTTCAAATTTTTTTTCTCTCTGCAACTGAAGTCAGTCTGGATTGACAATCCTCCCGTAGCTCCGAAATTTGTGTGAAGATATTCGATAGAATGGCAGAACATTCTTTGGCTGTTTGTTTACGTTTTGGTTTTTGTGGTGGTTGTTTGTTTATGTTTCCGCTGCACGAGCCACGCACCGCGGCACAGCATACTTGCCGCACACCACCACCAACGCTTGCACCTGCTCTTCGGTTGAGAGAGACAGAGACATCACACACATTCACCCCACCCGAGCCAAACACCACACACCACACACAACAAAACAAGCAAGCAACAGCACCGCAAGCAGTACACGCACCAAACCAAACCAAACCAAACCAAGCTGCACATTCACTAGCCCTTGTTGGCACACGTCAACTCATTTCCCGCTTTTTGTTGTTCTGAACGAACAAGTCACATCATCGCCCAGCAAGCACCCAGCAGACGCCTTCTTCTTTGGTTTCCTTCCTTCCCACGCTATCCTACTCCTCCGTCCAACTAACACTCCACAAGCAGCCAACACCCACACCGTCGTCCTCCTCATCGTCGTGCTCCTCCTTTGAAGCTCCTCTCCATCCTTCTGCTGCTCCTGCACTGAGCTCTCCTCCTTTTATCGTCAGACTGTCGTCGTTATCTTCACGACCGCCATTTTGAGACACCATCCATCCAAGTCTCATTCATCATCCAAGACACCTCTCCCACCTCCTCGCGCCCCACAATGAGCTTTGAGTGTAAGTGCTCGTCTGAGACGTGCATCCGCACTTGTGTTGTTTTTTCATGGCTCGACTGGCTTCCACGCCACGATCCCGTCTGCCCTTTGGTGGTCTATCCGTTACCTTGATCCCTGACACGCACGCACACACACACACGCACGCACCCTTGTCGGTGTCCCTTTCACACCCCTTCCCAAACCAGACGTTGGCTCACGCTCTAGCTCACGCCATCCAAACCATTTGCCTTTCTCTTTTCCAACCGGTGTGCAGTTGTTTCCGTTCCAGCCTTTGCGACACGTCAGCCCCGAGGCCGTGCACGCAAATGCCGCCCCCGCAAGCAAGGCGCCGGCCGCGGCGGTTGGGGTCGCCTGGACGACTTTGACATGCAACCGCTCCCCATTGATCAGGAAGACCCAATCTACGACGCCACCAACGATGACGACGACGTACGTTCGGATGTCTGTGTGTGCGGGTGTGCGTGTGTTTGTGTGTGTGTGTGTGTGCGTGTTTGTGTGTGTGTGTGTGTGTGTGTGTGTGTGTGTGTGTGTGGTTGGTTCTGGATGGCATGACGCTCTCACTCACTTGCTTGTAAATCTCACCAAAGTGATCAATGCACCCACCTACCTCCATTTTGTCATTCACGCTACTCGCCCCTCCCCCTCTTCTCTCCTTGTCTGCTGCTGCAGGGCTCGACGGAGTGGGTTGAGTCCTACCCAACCTTTGACGAAAAGACAATTGTGCGCATGCTGCGCGGCTTCATGCAGGAGCTGTTCAGCCACGGTGACGTGACAGAGACACTCCGTGCCTGCGAGCGCGTCAACTGGCCCGAGTCGAAGCACATTGTCGTCCAGACCATCATCCCCTTTAGCTTCTCCTTCAAGGTCAGACAGAATTCACGATTGTGTGTGTGTGATTGTATGTGATTGTGTGTGTGTGTGTTTGTTTGTGTGTGTGTGTGTGATTGTATGTGTGTGTGTGATTGCATGTGATTGTGTGTGTGATTGTGTATCATGCATATGCACTTGAGTGTTAGTGTGTATGCGAGTTCTTTTCAGAGGCCGCGATGCAGCATGCTGTCGTTTGCGCCTCACACACATGCACGCTACACGCCCACGACCACTTGTCTTAAATCAGGATGCGGAGCGTGAGCTGACCTCGACCGTGCTGGCCTACTTTGTCCAGCAGCAGTTCCTCAGTACCGGCGACGTTGAACGGTGTGTTGCTGTGCGTGTGCATATTGAAAAAAAAAAAAAAACTGCTTTCTGTTTGAAGCGCCCATGGGTTGTTGGGTTGTTGAGTAGTGTGCTGCTGCCACGTCGCGTCTTGTGCTCACAAGCGCTTCCGTCCCACCCTATCCTTCTCTTCCCCACTGCCTGCCCTTGTCCAAACACAACCAACACCTGACCTCTTGTCCGCCAATCAGGGGCTTCAACGCGCTGCTGGAGCAACTGCCGTCGCTGCTGCTCGACGCGCCAAAGGCCAGCGAGTACCTGTACAAGTTCATCACGCGCGCGGTGTCGCACGGGTGTGTCTCGCACACGTTTGTCTTCCAGCACCCGCTCACGTCGCAAGACGGCCCGCAAGCCGATGTGCTCCACCGCGCCCAGGCCATGCTTACGGCTCCCCACAACAAGATTCTCATTGACAAGGTAAGAGAGGTAGCCTGGCAGCGGCGAGGGCGAACTTGCCTCCTGTTTGCGTGTGTGTATGTGTGTCTGTGTCTGTGTCTGTGTCTGTGTCTGTATGCACCTTGTGTGTCTGTGTGTGTATGCACTGTATGCACTGTATGTACCTTGTGTCCTTGTGTCCTTGTGCCCTTGTGCCCTTGTGTCCTTGTGTCCTTGTGTCCTTGTGCCCTTGTGCCCTTGTGCCCTTGTGTCCTTGTGCCCTTGTGGATTCCTCCACCCTCACATCTTTCTCCACCCGCTTCCACCAGATTTGGGGCGACCACGCTGAGTTCCGCGATCTGGGCTTTGCAAAGTCGCGCATCCACACGCTGTTGCAGGAGCTGCTTGTGTCGTCCGACGTGTCCGAGGCCTGCCGATGCATCCACGACCTCAGCGAGCCACACTTTGTCCACGAGGTGCGCGTGCTTGTGTGCGTGTGTGTGCGTGTGTGTGCGTGTATGTGCATGCGTATGTGGCACATGCATAACACACGCTGCCCTTCCTTCCCCATGCTGCTTCTCACTTGCGTCCTCGGCTGGTTTGCCGCTACAACCGTCTCATCCTTCAACTTTCTCCCAACGCCCCACTGGACATGTGTGGATGTTTGCCGTTTCAACAACAGGTTGTTTACCAGGCCGTGTACCTTGCCATGGAGTGCGGTATGCAGCCACGTGTCCTTGACCTCGTCTGCGAGCTCCTCTCCCGCATGTCCACCAGCGGCCTCTGCTCCAGCGACCAAATGACCATGGTGCGTCGTGCCTTGAGCTCAACACAGTGCACAGCGAACGGGCTTTGCTGCCTTTGCCATGTCACATCCTGTGCTCTTCATCATTGTTCACCCACCCAAACCACCACCACCACCACCACCACCACCAACTCACTCATGTCGGATGTGCATTGCACCAAATGCCATTACCCACACAACAGGGCTTCCGGCGGGTGTACAACGCCCTCGATGACATTCTGATTGACCTGCCACACGGCTACCGCCATCTCGCTTACGTTGTGGACGCGTGCTACAACCGTGACGCCATCACCGCCACTTGTGTCCAGGTGTGTACGAACGAGTGTGTGTGCGTGTGCGTGTGCGTGTGCGTGTGCGTGTGCGTGTGTGTGTGTGTGTGTGTGTGTGTGTGTGTGTGTGTGTGTGTGTGTGTGTGTGTGTGTGTGTGTGTGTGTGTGTGTGTGTGCGTGCGTGTGTGTGTGTGTGTGTGTGTGTTTGCGAGTGAGAGGAAGCGTTCTTCTTTGTGTCTGTGTGTGTGTGCGGAGTGAGCGGATCGTGTTTCTTTGTCAGTGTGCTTCTTTGTCAGTGTGCTTCTTTATCAGTGTGCTTCTTTGTCAGTGTGCTTCTTTATCAGTGTGCTTCTTTGTGCCGTGTGCGTGCTTCCCAACCAATCTCTTCCCCCCCCCCTTCTTTGTATCGCTGCTCCTGCCCCTCTACTCACGTCCTGTTCCCTCATCCCTCTTCTCCCCAACCCAACAGGAGCTGCCACAGCGCCCGTACCGCCGCCGCCGCGAAATTAGCGAGGCAGAGAGCGAGATGTCCATGGACACCGACGAGTGGTGAAGCGAAGCTTTGCTGGGCTGTGCTTTGCTTTGTGCTCTGTCGCGCTTCAATTCTTCTCCGCTCGTTCACGGCTGGCCACACGGAATTTGCGCCAAGCGATGGGTGGTTCTTCTGTCCCCTCCCCCCATTGCCGTCATTCTCTTTTCTTCCATGATAATCGTTCTGTTGCTTGCTGGCGAAGCACACAACCCCACACCAAGACCCCGCGCTGATAACTGCTTTCTCTTCCTCCTGTTTTGTCTTCTGAACCCCCTTCCTCCTTTGTTGCGTGTTTCACACGGCCTGCTGACCCACCAAAGTACTTGATTTGAGCGACAACTTCCTTCCAAACAAACAAATAAAACGACTGGCCAACCACCATCCATCCCCACTGTCACCATAATGGCCCTTGCCTGCTTCCCAGTGCCCACCTCCCAAACAAACAAATAAAACGACTGGCCAACCACCATCCATCCCCACTGTCACCATAATGGCCCTTGCCTGCTTCCCAGTGTCCACCTCCTTCGCCCTTCCCAATGTCCACCAGCTAGCTCCCAGCACTCTCGTTCATCAGTCCCAGCTCCACTTGCACTAGTCATTCGTGGGCACACGAAATGTGTGTGGTTTTGTCATGTATTGTCCATTTCCACACAGCAGCCCAAGCAACACAAACGACAGCCAAAGAGATGGGGGGAGGCAATGGTGAGGCACTTAGCGCTTGGCCTTGAGCTTCTTGAGGTAGAACTCAAGCTCCTTACCCTCAAGGATGTAGCCGTCGCAGCGGCCAGACTGGCCAGGGCGAGACGCGATGCAAGCTGTGGTGTGTGGTGCGTAGAATGTGTGGCGAGGAGGAGAGACAGGAGCGAGCAAGACGGCAAGAGAAAAGAGGAAGGTGAGAACAAACCCAATACAAGGCAATCATATCGTGGAGACTGCGGTGCACATGACCTGCACATAAACTTTGCCTTACAAAGAAACAACACGGGTGGCTCGAAAGGAAACGATGCTCACCAACCCCTCCTCCCACACACACACACAACACACACACAAACGCATACAAGAACCCGGCAGCGCAGTGTACACACCGTAGAGGCGGCCAGAGTTGAACTGCTCCTCAAGCTTGGGGTCGAGCTTCTGGAACTTCTTGCGGGCGGCGTGCTTCTTCTTCGCCGACTTGGAGAACTGTGTTTCGGGCTCGTTGGCCTTCTTCTTGCCGAGGTGCACACCGTAGTGGGTCTCGTACCACGACTTGAAGGGGGTGGCATCAATGGCAATGATGGCGTTCTTCACAAGGGTCTTGGTACGCACAAGCTCGTTGTTGGAGGCGTTGTACACGACTGCAGCACCACCATTTAGCAAAGCAGAGAAGATGAACCAACGGAAGAAATGTGCGAGTCCAATATGGTGGTTGCATGCGTACAAAACAAACACAAACACAAGCAAGCCGTCAAAACACAGGCCATACAGATACGTCAAGCTGCTACGCCAACAAATCAACAGTGCAGATGCATATGCAGAAACACAAACACACCAAATGACAGAGTCAACACACACGCACACACGCTCAAACAAAGACACGCGAGGACGCACCATCGATCAGACGGGTCTTGCGGGAGACACCCTCGCTGGCCCAGGAGAAGTTGCCGGTCTCCAGACGAAGAGCGCGGAACTTCTGGTTGCCACTGTCATGGGACAAAGGACCAGAGTCGAACACAACACGCACACGTGCACACACAGTCGGTCATTAGCTTGGCATTGTAAACGTACGGGAACAAACGGAGAAGCGCAAGCAGAGGGCTCAGCACAAAGCTGAACTGAACACACGAACCCTCCGTGGTGATGTGTTGTGCCCTTTCGCATGGCTTTGGCACTTCAAGCATATGCACCCAAACGAACACACACTTGTGGAGAAAGCAACGCACACGAAACATAATACGCCACACCCTCTCGCATGGCTTTGTTTGTGCAGAAACTTACCCCATGGTGCGCACGGGACGGATGCGCTTGGGGCCCATCAGCCTGGTCATGGCTGGGGGACGGCCGAGCTCGTACTTGCGCTTCATGCGGATCGCATTCTTGCGACCGCCGGTGGCGCGGCGCTTGTGGATGTTGGTTCGCGAGATACCCCTGTTGGAGAAGAAGGAAAACAAAGTCGACGTGAGGAGACGAAACGGATAACGCCAAGAGTGAGAAACCGTGATAGGGAGCAAATGACAAGAGGTAACGAATGAAAAAGGAGAGATGGTGGTATCTCCCCCCTCCTCCTCAACACACAAACACACACACAACGTGGACGCTCGTGTTCCCCGCGTCTCTTCGCCTGTCTTTCTATCTTTGTCTTCTCATACACGTTGCTGCTGTTGTTCGTCAACCCAGCGCCGCCTCCAGCATGGCACGTTTCAAGAAACCACCAAAGTCACGCTGTCAACCCAACACCATCGTCATCGTCGCCACTGCCATGCTGCATCATCGCGTGCTTGTGGTGCTGTGCTATGCTGGGCTGTCTTCGCGCACGCCTCAAGAACAAGCCCTCCCACAAACATGCGCAAGCACTGTTGTCTGTCAAGACGGTAACTGCTGATGGTGCGGCTGCTGGCAGTCAAGGAGCCGCTGTCAGGTACCCAGGCAAGGCTGTGGTCGCTGTTCATGGGCTGTTGGCTGCTGCTGTGGCTGCTGTTGTGGCTGCTTCTCATTCTCTGTCAACTGCAGTGCACATCTCTCAATATCTCACTCTCTCGCACTCATTCTGACTCGTGTGCGACGCCAGGGTCGCTGTATCCCCCCCCCCGGCTTCTTCCTCCTTGCCTTCGCGCTCTGCCATGGAGCGACCACCACACAGGAGCAAGCACCACGCGAGCACCACCACTCTCGCCCTTCGCTCGCAAGGTACGCACATGATCGGCTGTCTTGAGGGGTCGAGGAGACACACACGCGGAAAGGGTGAAAAAGGCACTCTGCTCGGCAGCCGCAGCACAAGAATCGCTTGTCGTTGATGTTTTCCTACAATCGTCAACAGCGCATGCTGCCTTTGCTTGAATGGCTGGAGCCCGAAAAATCCCACCCAGCCCATATCACGCACGCAAAATAGAGAAAAGCACCCATTTGTAAAATCAGACTTCTCCAAATGACGCTTTTCCTCGGTTTTGTCTAAAGCAAATTTGCCTTTCTTCAACCCTGAGCCCAAAGCTCAACCAACACACTCACCCACTGCGACCGAGCTGCAACCAACAAGAGGAGGAAGCACCACCATCACAATCACAATCACCTCTGCCTCATCTGCTCAACAGCATGCTGCGCGTCGCGTCCTCGAGCTTGCGGCGGGCCTCCGTCGTGCGCCCACTGGGTCAGTGAGACAGTGTGTACGAGTGAGCGAGAGAGAGAGTGTGTGTGTGTGTGTGTGATGTGTGGTGCTTGTGTGTGTGATGTGCTTGTGTGTGTGTGTGTGGTGCTTGTGTTGCAGCACCTCAAGTTGCTGATGAAGAGCTCTGCACACCAGTACACCCCCCCCCCCACACACACACACACACACGCACGCACGCGCACACACACACACACAATCACACATTCCAACTCATGGCCATGAACGTGTACTGCTCGCTGCGCTCTGACACCAACACCACCACCAACACCACTGCCAACAACACCGCCAACAACACCGCCAACAACACCGCCAACAACACCGCCAACAAACCCAAACAGTGGCTGCACGGAGCTACTCGGAGCCTGCCTCTGATGGCCTGGTGGAGGTGTTTGTAGATGACATCCCGGTGCGCGTGGAGCCAGGCACCACCATCCTCCAGGCGTGCGAGGAGGCTGGCAAGCAGATCCCCCGCTTCTGCTACCACGAGCGCCTCTCCATCGCTGGCAACTGCCGCATGTGCCTCGTCGAGGTCAGTACCAAGTGATGTGTGTATGTGTGTATGTGTGTGGGGGGGGGGTGTGCTGGTGGGTGCTGTGGGTGCTGTGGGTGTACGCGCGCTTGTGCATGTGTGAACACCCTATCACTTGTCCATGTGGTTCAGCGTGATGCATAGCACGCACACACACACACACACACCACTGAGTGTCCTCGCATCACCGAAGCGCTTCCCCTTGTCTACCCACTCACAGCTATCCCATTCTCTTCTTGTCCTGCTGTCCTTGCACCGCCCAACCTCCCAACCCCCTGACTCAATGCTGCAGGTTGAGAAGTCACCAAAGCCAGTGGCTTCCTGCGCCATGCCCGTCATGCCTGGCATGAAGGTGCGCACAGACAGCGAGCAGACAAAGAAGGCCAGGGAGGGCGTCATGGAGTTCCTGCTTGTGAACCATCCGCTGGACTGCCCCATCTGCGACCAGGGTGGCGAGTGCGACCTCCAGGACCAGTCCATGGCCTTTGGCAGCGACCGCAGCCGCTTCTACATCGCCGACGGCAAGCGCGCCGTCGAGAACAAGAACATCGGGCCCCTCATCAAGACCATCATGAACCGCTGCATCCACTGCACCCGCTGCGTGCGCTTTGGCAACGAGATTGCCGGCGTGGACGAGCTCGGCACCACGGGCCGCGGTAACGACATGCAGATTGGCACATACATTGAGAAGATGTTCAACTCGGAGCTCTCCGGCAACGTCATTGACCTGTGCCCCGTGGGTGCGCTCACCTCCAAGCCCTACGCCTTCACCGCGCGCCCTTGGGAGCTGCGCCGCACAGAGTCAGTCGATACCCTGGACGCCGTCGGCTCAAACATTGTCGTCAACACCCGCGGTGGCGAGGTCATGCGCATCCTCCCACGCACCAACGACGATGTAAACGAGGTGCGCTTATGGGAGGACGGGGGTGGCTGTGGAAGAGGGAAAGGTGGAAAGGAAAGGGCTGTGAAGTGGTGTAAGGCTCGTGCCATAAGACTCTGCTGCATCAACGTGTCGCCAACCGCTTGTCCTTCCTCCTCCTCAGCCACACACGCAACACACGCCCTCTTTTCACGCCCTCACGCAACTCACGCACACCCCACGCTCACACATCCCGCGCACACCCTCACGTTGCTGGATATCAGGAGTGGATCAACGATAAGACCCGCTTTGCGTATGACGGTCTCAAGCGCCAGCGCCTGACCACCCCTTACGTCAAGCAGAACGGTGTGTGTGTCTGTGGGTGTCTGTCTGTCTGTCTGTCTGTTTGTGTGGATGTGAGTGGGTGTATGGGTGGGTGTCTGTCTGTGGGTGTGTGCTGCACTTAATTTGAGTGAGCCGTGTTTCACTTGAGGTGCTTCTGCTTCCGTCGCTGCTCACCCTTACCCCCTTGCGATTTCATGTTCATTTCGCTCCCCACGTCTGTTGCTCGTTGCAGGCCGCCTGGCCGAGGCTGATTGGAGCACGGCGCTTGCAACGGCGCTGGTCACGCTGTCCAACGCCAAGAGCCCGGCCGTTGTGGCCGGCAGCCAGGCCGACGCCGAGGCCCTCATTGCCGCTAAGGACTTCCTCACCAGCAACTACGACGCCAACACTTTTGTGACCGAGCAGCGCATTCCACAGACACAGGGCGGCTCTGACTTCCGCACCAACTACCTCTTCAACACGTCCATTGCAGACATTGAGGAGACAGACCTCCTGCTCCTTGTCGGCACCAACCCGCGCTTCGAGGGCTCCCTCATCAACGCCCGCATCCGCAAGGCATGGATGCAGAACGAGCTTGACGTTGCCATGGTCGGCGACAAGGTCGACCTCACCTACGAATACGACCACCTCGGTGCGTGTGCGCCGCATGTGTACTTGTCACATCAAAGTGCTCACTTGTGTACATGCGTACATGGGCATTGTGTCACCACTTTGTCAGCCTGAAACGGGCACCCCCCCCCCTTAATACGCACACGCACATGCACGCACACGCACATGTGATGCAAGCTGTTTACTGCCATTCCTCACCACCCTTGTCTTTGGCGTCTGTTCCTGCTCCGTGCATCTGCGTTTTGTGAAACAGGCGATACGGTTCAGACACTGCAGGACATTGCCTCTGGCAAGCACGCGTTCAGCAAGCAGTGGAAGGCGGCCAAGCGTCCCATGATTGTTGTTGGGTCTGCTGCCCTTGAGGGCGAGCATGGCGATGCCCTCTTTGACCTCTCCTCCAAAATCGCCCAGCAGAGCCAGGTACAAACACACCACCACCAGCTGCTGCAGCTGTTGTTGTTGTTGTTGTTGTTGTTGTTGTTGTTGTTGTTGTTGTTGTTGTTGTTGTTGTTGTTGTTGTTGTTGTTGTTGTTGTTGTTGCTGTTGTTGCTGTTGTTGTTGCTGCTGCTGCTGCTTGGTCGAACGATGAGGAGCTTTGTTTTGTGTTTGTGTTCCTGTTTGATGTGAATTTTTGTGTGTGCGTACAACACCTACACCAACACGCTCGTCTCACGCGTCGGGTGTCTGTCCGTGCATGGTTGGCGTGCAACCCAAACAGGCGTTTGGCAGCGGCGAGTGGCGTGTGTTCAACGTTCTCCAGCGCTCTGCAGGTCAGGTTGCCGCCCTCGACCTCGGCTACACCTCCGCCTCCCTCAAGGGTCCGTATGCTCGCATGCTTACTGGGTGTATGCGTGACAGAGATAGATTGTGTGTGTGTGTGTGTGTGTGTGTGTGTGTGTGTGTGTGTGTGTGTCCCAGTCGTGCGCGTGAACATATGTGTCTCTGCTGTCGCGACGGGTCAGCGTGTGCTCATCGGGTGCTCATCGGGTGCAATCGTGTTTTCTCCTGCCTGCAAACAGATGCCGATGTTGTCTGGCTGATGCACGCCGACCAGTTTGATGAGAAGGAGCTCGAGGGCAAGACCGTCATCTACCAAGGTTACTACGCGTGTGTGTGTGCGTGTGCGTGCGTGTGTATGCGTGTGCGTGCGTGTGCGTGCATGTGCGTGTGTGTATGTTGTTGCAAAGGGCTCGCATATCTGTCCTTCCACCCACTCCTCTCAACGTGTGTGCACCAACAACACCGTCGTTGCAGGCTCCCACGGCGATAAGGGTGCGCAGTTTGCTGACATCATCCTTCCTGGTGCCGCATACACGGAGAAGGACGGCACCTTTGTTAACACTGGTATGTGCTCCCTTACACACGCCGTGTATTTTGACCTCGTGGAGACGATCCATTGTCTGTGGCCTCCCTTGTTTGATCTTGCCCACTCACACCCGCGGCCCCACCATGGATGGCCTACACCTCACCCCACCACTCCTCTCCCATCATCTCACACCATCTCACACCACCTCGCCATCTTGCCGTCACGCCGTCACGCCCTTTGCCTGGATTGGCTGTCGCTTCTTGTGATGCAGAGGGCCGTGTGCAGACCACCCGCACCGCCGTCACCCCGCCCGGCGATGCCCGCGTCGACTGGGAGATTGTCCGCGCCCTTTCCTCGGTGCGTACTTGTATTACAACCTGCCACACAGTGCAGGTGCTTGTTGTATGCAGCCATCAACCGTCCTGCCCTGCTTCACTCAGCAATTGTGCTATGTTTGAATGCCTTATGACAACAACATTCATTGCATTGCAATCGCATTTGGTTGAGCGCCTTCGTTTTGTTGTTGTAACCATCCTCTTCGTTAACAATCGTCAACACTCGTTAATAATCCCCCCTCCCTACTGTTTGCTTCTGACGCACTTGCAGTTGACGGAGAAGCCACTTCCGTACGACACCCTCGGTGCTGTGCGCGCCCGCCTGGCACAAGTTGCCCCCCACTTTGCAAGCTATGATGTCCTCCAACCCGCCAACTTTGCCAAGATTGCCGCCGCACACGCAGCAAACAAGCCAGGTGTGCTGCCCGTCCCATGTGTTTTGAACACCGCATGTCAACATGCGATCTTGGTCGTTGCTTCCTCTCTCGGTCCTTCTCTTTCTTCAGCCCTCACCACCGCCACCACCACCACCACCGCCACCACCACCACCAACAACAACAACAACAACAACAACAACAACAACAACATTTGTGTGTCTGTGCCTTCAGCGCCGGCTGATCTCCCTCTGGCAGTCCAGCAGAAGCAGCTCAAGGACTTTTACATGACAGACCCCATCTCCCGCTCATCTCTGGTGCGTACACATTTCCTCGTGTGTCTGGTCTTGTCTTGCTGCGCCATGCCTTCCCCCGCCGGTCTGTCCCCTGTGGTGGTGCGGTGTGCTGGCTCACGTGTGACTCCCCTGCAACTGTGTGTCTCTCGCCCCGCTGTGTGTTGCAGACGATGGCCAAGTGCGTCAAGGCAACTCAGAGGGTCGACCCCGACAAGAACTTCTGATGACGCTCGTATTCACATCAAGCTCGAAGCGTGACACGCCACCCATCCACTGCCACCACCACGACGAGAACGAGATGGGCGCAAGGAGTGGAGTGGAGGATGAACATCAAAGATCAGAATACAGAGACAGTGTGGTGGTGGTGGCGGCGGCGATGAAGGATTTCGTGGCTATGACGAACCCGCACCAGGAGTACAAACGTGGCGTGATGGTGTGTGTCTGTGTGTGTGTGTGTGTGTGTGCGTCTTGAGCAGTTATCGACATGAGAGAGAGTGTGTGTGTGTGTGTGTGTGTTTGAGTTATGTGTTTTGTGCGTGTGTGCGTGCGTGTGCTCTTCCTTCGTTTTGGTGCTGCTCTTCATATCGTTGCATCTTGTGTTGGGTTGCTGTATCTTTGCAATACAAGATGAAGACGAGATCAACGTCACAAGAACGAGGGTAAGCGAAAAGGGGGAAGGAAGGGACGCACGGTGATGTGATGTGACGACAACGCAGCTTGTGCAATCACGCCCCGCCCACGATACAACACAATCAGCACAGAGCATCAGTACAAGTCACACATGCGTGCGCGTTGGCTATGCTTGTGAAGAGTCATCATGTGTGTGATGGCGTCGAGTTGAGGCAGACAGCATGATTTGGCCATCCGATGAGCTGCGCGGGCGTTCCTGCACATCAGCCACTCGCAGCAAACCACTACGACCTGTTGCTGCTGTTGTTGCTGCTGCTTGGTGCCCGCCACTGCTGCCGTCGCGACTGTCACGCTGATCGCGTGAAAGGGAAGGTGGTGGTGATGGCGGGCCTTGGTGCTGCTGCAGCGGGTGTGTGGTGGGGGCTTGGCCTGATTGCGGCTGCAACAACGACGACAACACGTGTGACCGCGAACGCACAACCTCGGACACCGCACGCGGGCGGTTTGTTCGGGAGCGTGTTTGCGGCAGGTTGTGATGGTGATGGTGGTGATGGTGATGGTGGTGATGGTGATGGTGGTGGTGTGTCTGGCTTCTGGATCTCGACCGTGCTGGCGGCACGAGCAGACCCGCTTCCTCATCATCCACATCCGCATCAACACCAGAGACGTTGCCATCGGCAAAGGGCCGCGGGTGCAGCTGGGCAAACTGCAGCGCCAGCCGTGACGGGCTCATCGGCTGAGACACCGCCTGTGTACGCGGGGACTGCCATGCAGAGCTGCGCAGGTCACTCTCCTCAGCCTCGTTTGCGTCTTCCACGTCGGCGTCACTCGCGCCTTCATCCCGCACACCGCCAGCGCTGCTGCTGCTCAACCTTCCCGCGGTCTCCGCCACTTTAAGAGACGCCAATGGCGCAGCCCCTGTGCCCACAACACCACCACCAACCTGTTGCTGCTGCTGCTGCTGCTGCTGCTGCTGCTGTTGTTGCTGTTGTCGTTGTTGCTGTTGTTGTTGTTGTTGTTGTTGTTGTTGTTGTTGTTGTTGTTGTTGTTGTTGTTGTTGTTGTTGTTGTTGTTGTTGTTGTTGTGCAGGCGTTTGCGTTTCGAGTGTGGGTGGAGAAATGAGAATAGACGCGGTCTGCTCACTAGCCGTTGCCGATGCCATACCGGCTTGCTGTTGCTGTTGCTGTTGCTGTTGCTGTTGCTGTTGCTGTTGCTGTTGCTGTTGCTGTTGTTGGTAGTGAGATGGTGGTAGCTGGTGGTGCTGTGGCGGTTGCTTATCGTGCTTGCTGTCACCCAATGTCAAGCGGCGTGCTTCCTTCTTCTCGCCCTGTTTGTGTTTCGCGCTAGTTGCCTGCCTAGCTCCTGCCTCTGCCTCACCCTTCCTCTTCTCCTGCACACGAGCTGCATCCGTGGTGGCTGTGCTGCCTCTCGCTGCTCCGTCGCCTGCCGCGTGTTCGCTCTTCGCCTCCCGGAGCACCTGCTGCGTGTGCACCTGGCTCACCCCGCTGCCCCCACCAGCATGCTGCCGCTGTTTCCACGACCGCCTGTGTCGCGTTTGCCGCTGCTGCTGGCTGCGCTGCTGTCGCCTCGCATCCGTCTCCGACAGCTCGTCGTCGCCCTCCATGCCGCTACTGCACGCGCTCCCGTGCGGGCGCCTGCGCACACCCCCACGCATCATTGACGGTGGCAGCACGCCGCCAAAGGGCGCCGTGTCGTCCAGGGGTTCAGTGGACGACGCACCCGACGGCCGCACCCCAAGCAGCAGGCCATCATCCGATGACGCAGAAAGATCATCGTCGGCGTCGCCCCCATACGCCTCCGCTAGCTCGCTCGTCGCACCGCTCGGCCCGCTGGAAGCTTGCAGGCGTGCTGTTGCTGCGCTCGCGCTGCTCGCTTCGGCTTCATGGTCGTGGCGTCGCTGGCGGTGGGCAGCGGTAGCACCGCCTGCACTTTCATCAACAGACACCGATGCCACACGCTCAGCACTCTCTTGTTGTTGTTGTTGTTGTTGTTGTTGTTGTTGTTGTTGTTGTTGTTGTTGTTGTTGTTGTTGTTGTTGTTGTTGTTGTTGTTGTTGTTGTTGTTGTTGTTGTTGTTGTTGTTGCTGTTGTTGTTGTTGCTGTTGTTGTTGTTGCTGTTGTTGTTGCAATGTGGCTGTTGGAGAGGATTGCCGCTGCTGCCCCGGCGATCTGCTGCGTGCATCGCCAACGCTTCCCCGTGATGGTCGCGGCTGGTGGATGGTCTCGTGGGCACGCCGCGCCTGCTGTGGTGACGCCACGGGCTGCGGTGCAACGTGTTTCAGTGCCGACGAGAGGGGCGACAACCCTGTGGCTGGTGCGCGTGTTGCGTGACTGTCCACGCCGCCATCAGAGTCGCCACCCCGTCCATGACCGCTCGCAGTGTCTGTGGATCTGTGCTCACTCTTCGCGGCCGCTTGTGCCTTGGTCTCCGCTTCCAACGCTTCCGCAAACGCATGTGTGCTGGCCGTGCGATGGTGTTCGTGATGGCGGTGGTGCATGTGGCGATCGTGGCGGTGGTGCATGTGGCGGCTGTGCTGATTCTCACCATCAACATGGTGCCTGTGTTCGCCACCATCTTCGTGGTGATCTCGATCATGCGTCACACCACCGCGCTTATCACTGTCATGGCCAACACCAACACAGTGTCCACCATCATCGTGGTCGTCGTTGTCATCGTCACCATCGTGGTACAATTGCACCTCGTGTGTGGATTCGCCCTGGTACACCGTCAGCCCGCCCTGGAACAGCTGCGGGAACGCGTGCCGCTCAAATGTGTCCGGCAGGTCCGGCTCTGACGTGTGTGTGTGTGTGTGTGTGTGTGTGTGTGTGTGTGTGTGTGTGTGTGTGTGTGTGTGTGTGTGTGTGTGTGTGTGTGTGTGTGTGTGTGCGTGCGAAAGGAAGGAATGCGCACCGCCGCCCTCAGCTACAGATGACTCACCCAAATGCACACACACGCGACCAAACACAAGCACCCAGAGTGAACACCATGACGCACGTGTCTCACCTTCGAGGGGCAGGCCAAAGTGGAAGGCGTCCTCCGGGATGGAGATGACGGGGCGGGTTGTTCGCGGCATGTAGCGGTCGACTGTTGCCCGCACACGCCGCACCTGCACCCGACAGCAAAAAAATGCGCAAACAGGAGCCAACACCAATGGGGAAGAGATGGTGAGCAGCAGTGGCAACAGCAGCAGCCGCGGCAGCAGCAAGCGTCGAGGTTGTAGTTGTGGTTGTTCGACAAAATGAGAGAACAAAGTGGTGGAAAACAAGGAAGCACAAGGCAAACTTCGAACAGCGGTGACAGCCCATCAAGTGGGGGCGGTGGTTGTGTACGGGATCGTCACAGAACCACAGATGCCATTACCCACCTGTCTGAAGAGCGGGTGGCGCAACAGGTCAGAAGCTGATGGCCTGTGGTTGTTGTTGTTGTTGTTGTTGTTGTTGTTGTTGTTGTTGTTGTTGTTGTTGTTGTTGTTGTTGTTGTTGTTGTTGTTGTTGTTGTTGTTGTTGTTAATGTTGTGATGAGGGGTTTCATATCGATTAGGGGCAAGTGGATGAGGGCATGCACGTGGCATGCCAGCGAAACAGGTGTCGAATACTCCACACATATGGGAGATTGGATACAAGCAAGTCCGTCAGGCATGATACACTCAAAGACAACAGCCGCTGCCCACCTCAGGTCAGGATCGACGTTGAGGCATTGCGACAGAAACACTTTCATGTGTCGCGAAACGTTCTTTGTTGGTGCCACGCCCACCTTGATCCCCTGAATCTTGTACAGCAGCATCTGTATCGAGTGGCGGCACACAAGCACATGCGCAAGATGGCGGGTTGGAAGAAAGGGAAGCAAGGGACGAATTTCACGAGGAAGATCAAGACAATGCGTGTATGTGCGTGTGTGTTTGTGTGTGCACGTGCGTGAATGTTTGAGTGCACATGCGTGAATGTTTGTGTGTGCATGTGCGTGCGTGTGTGTTTGTGTGTGCACATGCGTGAATGTTTGTGTGTGCATCCATGTGCGTGTGTGTTTGTGTATATGTGTGTGTGCGCACCTGTGGCAGTTCGAGCCCTGCGTATGGCTGATCACCGTTGAGCATTTCCAGCGCCAGGACGCCCAAGCCGTAAATGTCCGCCTTTGTCATGTAACCGTGGGCAGCCTGTGCACACACATGCAATCGTATGTGTATTGTGTGTTGTGTGTTGTGTGTTGTGTGCGTGTACGGTGTGTGTATGGTGCGTGTGTTTGAGGAAGCGTGAGCATTTCGCGTGTGTGTGTAGATTTTTCCTCGAGAGGAAGAGGCCGTGCACTGCACATGGAGCAGACGTGTGCTCACCTGCGAAATGACCTCTGGTGCAAGCCAGGGCAGAATGCTGTGGTCTGTTGGGCAGTCGAACAGTTTTCCACTGCAGGCACACGTGCACGCGTACATACGCGTCGAGGTGAGCATGCGCAATCACACGGGTCACACACGTACAAAAGACGCCTGGGAACAAGAGCAGCAGTCAGTCAAGCCGTGCACACAGTCCCATGGGGCATGCATGTGAAAAAGTGGTGGCGGTGACGGAAGTGCTCACCTGCCGTCGCCATCAAAATGGATGTCCCGCGAGTACTGGAAGTTGGTGATGCACACGCGCAACGCTTCGGTGATGACAACGCTCTCCGCGTTGATGCGGTTGTGCACGATTCCCAGCTTGTGCAAATGCACAAGGGCTTGTAGCACCTCCTGTCGCGTGTGTACGTGTGTGCGCGTGCGTGAGCCCACGTGAGCTTGTCATGCAACAGTGGTGAAGTACTGCCAAACGTATGTGTTGAGTGGCGTCAAACCAAAACACGGCAGCACGTATGGTATCGAGCACCATCAACACGACTCACGTGCAGGACTGTTGCGGTGAGCACTTCGTCACAACCGTTTGGAAACGTCGTATCGAGCAGATCTCGGAGCGAGCCTGTCAGGACACAGCGAGGGGGCGCGTGCACACCAGCAGAACATCGCGATTCGGCAGGGGGATGTATGTCAGCAGAGTCTGGCATGGAAACAACACCGCCACAGCAGCTGCGTCTGAACATTGAACAAAAATTCACGTGTGTGCGCGCACAGACACAGACATACGCACACACTCGCTCACTCTCTCACTCGCATACACACACACACACACACACAAACAAACACACACACACATACACACACAAACACACATACACACACATACACACACACTCGCTCACTCTCTCACTCGCATACACACACACACAAGTGCGACGGGCTTGCGTGTGGAGACAGCACCTTGTGGCGTGTAGGGGCCGACCGTCCACAGCTCGGCGGGGTCATCGGCCGTGACAAAGTGGACAAACGGCTGGTAGATGTTGGGATGGGCCAGCTGACGGCTGAGCACGGCCGCGCGCACCTCGTCCTGCAGACGCTGCTCCGATGAAGTCAGTACTTCCGCATTCAAGCAGCGAATCGTTACCAGCTCTGTAAGCGGTTTGGAGGAAGGGGGTGAGACAAAGGCAGCCCAAGTTGAACGTGAGATTCTGGGGTGGGGGGAGGGCAAAAGAAGGCTTCCAGATCTCATTGGACAAGAAAGGCCACACACACACACACACACACACACACACACACACACACACACACACACGCTGCTTCACTGCTGGTACCGTTTGTTGCGAGGACGTGTGCGCGACATATCCGTGCCGCGTTATACGCGTCCCATCCTGATGGTCGACGTGTGTATGAGTGTGTGTGTGTGTGTGTGTGTGTGCGTGTGTGCGTGTGTGCGTGTGTGCGTGTATGTGTGTGTGCGTGTGGGTGTATGTGTGTGTGCGTGTGAGAGAGAGCAAGATGCACCAAAGGTGCAAGTACAGCTGGGGCACCAACACAACGCAGGCGAAGCGTACACTCGCACTAGTATTACATGAACATGAGAAGGGGGACGAAGCTTTCACTCACCAGACACGACGTTAATCTGGTATGCAAAGGAGGATGTGGGCCAGCCCGTCGACGAAACCATATCGGGATCCATCCTTCCAGCGATCGCTCACACGCGCAGAGGATGAGGGCTCGCGGTTGGGCCGTTGGTATTGCGGGTTTGTGTATGTGTGTATATATGTACGTATGCGCGTGTATGGGAGAAGGGCCTTCCTCTTCCTTGCCCACTTGCTCGCTCGCTTGCGTTTGGTTGCTTTTGTGGCCCAGTTCGGCAAGCGGCGCACCACGGCAAGTCCGGATGACAACCACTGCTGCTCCTTGGTCACAAGAAGTGACAAGAGTACCGAGAAGAAGGGCGGGGTAGACAGTTGTGACAACCGCACACACAGAAGAAGAAGATCTGGGAACACGTAGGGAAGACGCTGCCACAGATAGAGTCAGAGAGAGAGATGAAGAGAGAGACAGAGAGAGACAGAAGTGGACACGAGGGGGGGGGGGGATGTGGTGCTGGTGTGATGATGGTTGGTGGTGAGGTTTGAAAAGAAGAAGAAAACACAAACACACAAGCAAACGCACCACCAGAAAGAGGAAAACGGCCACCCTTGAGTGTAGAATGATTGTCATATCTTCAGTGCATTTTCTTGCGCCTTCCAACGAAACAGCACAAACAAACAAACCAACTCACTGCCCTCAAACACCCCTCCCCAGTCGCTTCCCCACTCGCTTCCTCACTCGCTTCCTCACACGCTCGCGACGAAGATGACGGACCCACGCCGCTGTGTTGCTGTGGCTGACTATGTGGCCAAGGAGGACGATGAACTGACATTCAACAAAGGCGACATCATCTTTGTTCCCAAGCGCACGAACGAAGAGAGGTGTGTTGAATATGTGTTGGTTGGTGATTGTGTGCTTCTGGTTGATGGATGACTTGTTTGGAGGCATCTGTGCGCGCACTGCAGGGCTGAACTACCATGACCTCTGCTTACCGCTAATTCATCAATCACATGTCCACCATTGGCACACACGCACACACACAGGTGGCAGGGCGTATGCAATGGCAAAGTCGGCTGGTTTCCGCGTGTGTACGTGGATGACAAGACTGTCGAAGTCAAGGTGTGTGTGTGTGTGTGTGTTTGAGGGGGGCGGGTGTTTGTTTGCTTTTGTGTGTGTGTGTGTCTGTGTCTGTGTCTGTGTCTGTGTCTGTGTCTGTGTCTCTCTGTGTGCGTGCGTGTGTGTCTGTGTGATTGACGTGTTTTCGAGCGAGCCATTGTGTGTGTGTGTGTGTGTGTGCGTGCAACGGCAACGTTGTGGGTCCACCTTCTTCTCCTTCCAAGTCGTGCACGACCGCCCCCACCACCCCTCATTTGTGACCGGATTGTACACTGCATCAGGCTGGAAAGACGACGCGCGTGAGGGCCATTCGAGACTACGAAGCAGTAGCAGAGGAGGAGCTCAGCTTCCCCAAGGGCGCCGTCATGTTCGTGGTTGCTCGAGAAAGCGAAAAGTACTGGCGCGGCGTCTACGAGGGGAAGAGCGGCCTTATCTTGGCCGCAAACGTCGAAGACGCCAGTGAGAAGGAGCAGGTGTGTCACGCACATGCACATGCACATGCACGTGACAGAGCATGCGCACCTCAACGTCAAGCAACCAAGCTGTGGCCTGATGCCAGCCCAACACTCCCCGTTCATACACGATTTACAATGGCTGCTTCTGAGTGTTCACTTGCCTATCTACTTGCGTACATGCCTGCACGACTACTTGCCTATCTGCTTGCCTATCTGCTTGCCTATCTACTTGCATGCTTACAACACACACACACACACACCACGACGGGCTCCTTTCGTTCCACATATCTGTGCTGAGCAGCCCAAAAGCTTTGAAGGGGCCAAGTGCCGTGCCATCCGCTCCCACATCCCCACAACCAACGACGAGCTTGCGTGAGTTGCTGCGTGTTTGCTGTGTGTGTGTGTGTGTGTGTGTGTGTGTGTGTGTGTGTGTGTGTGTGTGTGTGTGTGTGTGTGTGTGTGTGTGTGTGTT